AATATATATAATTAGCATATTATTGTTTATAATAAGGTGTCTCCTTGTTGTCTCGTTTTTGTCTCGTTTTTGTCTCCTTTTATCTGTATTTGTCTCCTTTTTGTCTCCTTTTTGTCTCCTTTTTTGTCTCTTTTTTTTTATTTATTTATTTATTTATTTATAGACAGAATTATGCCAATTATGGCTAGCAGGAAGTTGTCCATCAAGAGAAGTTTGCCGTCATGCTCATGGTGTACAAGAGTTAAGACCTAAGACGTAAGTATTTATTTATTTATTTATTTATTTATTTATTTATTTATTTATTTATGCATGCATGCATGCATGCATGCATGCAAATGCATGCATGCTGATGGTGTGTATAGAGTGTAGCAGTAGCTGTATGCATGCAGACACTGCAGCAGAGGGAGAGAGGAGGGAGGGGGGGGCTTGTATATTTATGGTGTACGTATTAAGTATATGCATATGCATATGCATGCATGCATACATGTTGCTATTGCTGCTGTTGTTGCTGCTGCTGTTGCTGCTGCTGCTGCTGTTGGTGTGTACAGACAGCTGGCAAGGAAGAACATTGCCTTTTTGCTGGGGTCACAGAATCAGGGGACAGGAAGCAAGGAGACAACAACAGCAACAGAAGAAGAAGGAGACACTCCTCCTGCTCCTGCTGCTGCTGCTGCTCCTGCGCTGCAGACACGTAGAGTGTCTAGGCTGGTAGAGACAAAAGCAGCAGCAGCTGCTGCTGCAGCAGCTGCTGCTGCAGCTGCTGCTTCTCAAGATGGCTTCTGCAGCAAACTAAGCGAAGAGGAGACAGCTGCTGCTGCTGCTGCTGCTGCTGCTGCTGCATCTAAGACAAAAGGAGACAGCAAAAAGGAGACAGCAGAGGAGACACCTGATAAACAAACAGAGAAACAAATAAGACTTTCCTTACAGAGACTAAAGCTTAAGCACGCAGCAGAGCAGCAGCAGCAGCAGCAGCAGCAGGGGGAAGAGAGTAATGACCCTCCAGATCAGCAACAGCAACAGTCTCAGCCTCAACAGCAGCAGCAGCAGCGGCATAAGCAGCAGCAGACAAAGCAGCAGCAGCAGCAGCAGCAGCAGCAGGAAGAAGGGATGGATACGAATAATATCCTGCAGTCTTCTGTCTTAGTAGAGACAACAACAATGCACTCGCGTAAGAAGTCTGGTGGTGGGGCCCGTAAGCTGCTGAAGCAGCAGCAGCAGCAGCAGCAGCAGCAGCAGGAAGGTAGCTTGCAGCAGCAGCAGCAGCAGCGGCATAATAGACGTTCAGGATCTCCCCGTCAGTTGAAGTCCTCCTCCTCCTCTTCCTCGTCTTCTTCCTCCTCCTCTTCTTCCTCATCAGCAGCACAGCAGCAGCAGCAACAGCAACAGCAGCAGCAGCAGCAGCACGACAGCGCAGGAGGAGGAGGAGGAGGAGCTCGTGTCCTTCGTGGTGTACGTCTGTCTCGTGAGGGTATCGAGACAGCAACCTCGAGTGTATCCGCAGCACAGACCCCTAATGGTACAAAGGGGGGCCCTATACACCATAAGGGAGGAGGAGGAGGAGGAGGGGGAGGGGCAGGGGCATTAGATGCAGTAGCTGCAGCAGCAGCTGCTGCTGCTGCTGCTTCGTTAGATAATAGTATACAACATCAAGGAAATACACCTCCGTGGTGTATAGGCACCTCCCCCTCTATTGGGGATACAGTGTCTGCAGAAGAAGGTACTAGTACGTGGGCCCTGGGGCCCCCCCTGCAGCTGCCTCCATGCGGGCCTCCATGCACAAGTTGGGGGCCCCTAGGGTCTAGTGCTGCTGCTGTACAGGGTAGACTGCAGCAGCAGCTTACTGGGGGAGGGGGGCCCCATCCTTTCTCTAGCTATTCACAGAATGCATGCGATCTTGCTGTGCAGCACTCCCCTGCTGCTGCTGCTGCTGCTGCTGCTGCTCTCTTTTCTTTCCCTCCTTCCTCTATTGCCCCTTGTCTATGCCAGCCCCATCCTAATGCTGAGTTGCTGCACCGTCATCTGCAGCAGCAGCAGCAGCAGCAGCATCAACAGGTTCCTCAGACACAGCAGCAGCAGCAACAGCAACAACAGGCACATGGGCAACATGTGTCCTGTGTATGCCAATTTGCTGCTGCTGCTGCTGCTGCTGCATGCCCTGTACAACCATCAGGGGCCTACCTTAATGCATTACCTCGTTCCCTTCCTCTTGCTTCTGCTGCTGCTGCTAGTATGGGTTGGGGGCCCCTATTAATGCCTCATTGCTTCTGCTTCCTGCAGGGGCCCACCAGCTGTCCGCAGCACGGCTGCGTACCACCAAGGGGCCCCCAGTGGCAAGACACCATGGGGGGGGGCCCCCTGCATGTAGGAGGCGCAGAGCGGATCTTCTGTTGGATGCAACAAGTGCCCCTCAAGGGTGAAATACACGCAGCAGCAGCAGCAGCAGATAGCTGCATCCATGCAGCAGCAGCAGCAGCACCAGACATGCAGCACCAGCAGCAGCATATAAACAGAGGGTTGCTGTATATTGCTGCATGCGTCCCTGCTGCTGCTGCTGCTGTTAATCCTTTTGTTTTTTCTGTTGCTTACACACATAATGATTCTGCTTCTGTTGCTGCTGTTCTTTCTGCTGCTGCTGCTGCTGCTTCTTCTGCTGTTGTTCCTGCTGCTGCTGCAGCAGCAGATGAATGGTACTTATTCTTCTTTTTTTTGTCCTTTTTTTTTTCTTCTTTTTTCTCTGCAGATCTGCAATTGGCCGCCTCTGTGGAGAGGTACGAAGACTGACTTCTTCTTTTTCCTTATTTATTTATTTATTTATTTATTTATTTATTTTTGCTGTTTATTTATTCATTGTTATTTATTCCTTTTTTTTTTCCCTCTTACTCTTATGCTAGCTACTACCTTATGGGCCGTCGTCCCCCCCTCCCTCCCTCCTCCTTCCTTACCTTTATATATAAGGTCTATTAATTAATTAATTAATTAATTAATTAATTAATTAATTAATTAAATCCCTTACTTACTTCCTATATTTATATATATATTTATATATATATTTATATATATATTTATTTATACATATATATGTCTTATGTGCCCCGCGGTGTCATTATCTTTCTTATCTGTGTATGTATGTATACATATATATGTATATATATTTATATATGTATATGTATATATATTTATATATATTATTATAATTATAAATATAATTATATTTATTTACTAGATGATGATTATTTGCTGCCTCTCTTCCTCATTTGCCTCCTCAGTATTATTTGATTTATTCTTGCATGGTGGTGCTGCAGCAAGCAGCAGCCACTGCAGCAGACAACAGCAGCAGCAGCAACAACAGCAGCAGCAGCAGCAGCAGTAATAGCAGCAGCAGTAGTAGCAGCAACAGTAGCAGCCACCATCAATACCACCACCTCCTTGCAGCTTGGATTTAAAAAGGAAGAAGCCGCTAGAGAGGGTTTAGGGTTTATTAGGGTTTAGGGTTTAGGGTTTAGGGTTTAGGGTTTGGGTACAAGGATCAGTACTAGGTATACTGGTCCGTACCCAACAAATAATAGGTAATTATTTCCTCTGCCTATAATAGACAGGAGAATAAATTAGACAAAAAAAGAAGAAAGAAAGAGGGAGAGAGGAGACAGAAGAAAGAGGCAAAAAAAAGACAGATAATTTAGTTCCTTGGCTGCTGTCTATCTGCTGCCACAGTGTACAATGAACATGAACATGACGACCCCCAGCCCCATGCATGCATGCATGCATGCATATACATATACATATATACATATACATATATATACATATATACATAGGGTATCTGTTGGTCTGTCTGTATATGCCCATCTGTATTATCTCCTCAAACCCTAAACCCTAAACCCTAAACCCTTTTCCTCTGTGGTGAGTAACTATATGTATATGTGCTGCTGTGTATACATGATACAACATAAGGGGGGCCCCCTAGGGGGGCCCCTCTACATGCCTGTTGCTGCTATATGTTATATATATATGTATATATGTATATGATGATGTATATGTATATATACATGTTGTATATACATATATATACACATAATATATGTAATAAATAAATAAATAAATAAATAATAAATAAATATATATATGTATTATATATATGTTGGTGCCCTGTTGTTATTAAGGGTTTCTTCTTCTTTTTCTTCTTTTTCTTCTTTTTCTTCTTCTTCTCCATCATCAAATTCTTACGGAGGGGGAGGGTACTAATAATATATTTTATATAATTAATTAATTAATTAATTAATTTAATTAAACAGCATAATAATAATTTATTATTTAATTCTTTATTTATTATTATTAATATTATTATTATTATTATATTTACTCTTATTATATATATACTTATTGCTATTATACATACTAGTATTTATTATTATTAATTGTATATAATGCATAGTAGCATAGCAGCATTATTAGCTGAGTGCTGCTGAGAAATACGATCAGCAGCAGCAGCAACAGCAGCAGCAGGTGCAGCAGCAGCAGCAGCAGCAGCAGCAGCAGCAGCAGCAGCAGCAGCAGGTGCACAGAAGGACAGAGGTACATCGTAAAAAGAAAAAAGAATTAAATAACAAAAGAAACAAACAAAAAAGAATACACAATGTCTGTCTGTCTGTACACCTCGCGAGGGTCTCGCGGGTTATACCTATGGACACGGGGAAACCCACAAGATGCAACAATGCAGCAGCAGCAGCAGCAAGAGCAGCAGCAGCAGCACCAATAGCAGCAACTGGATCACGTTATGGGACCTCTAGGTATTGTTATACTGTATAGGTACCATAGCGTCTTTGCCGTTGCTGCTGCTGCTGTTGCTGTCGCTGCCGTTACAGATACCGTTGCTGCTGCTGTTGCTGCTGCTGTTGCTGCTGCCGTTGCTGCTGCCGTTACTGCTGCCGTTGCTGCTGCCGTTGCTGCTGCAGACGTTTGCACCTATGTAGCTTCCGCTGCTATCCTGAGGGTTTGCTGCAGTGTCTCGCATGTCTGCATTCTCAATAGGAAGGAGTTGTCTGGCAGGACTTACAGGTTGCTGCTGCTGCTGTTGTTGTTGTTGCTGCTGCTGCTGCTGCTGTCTAGGGGGCCCCTTAGAGTGTATATTGTGCATTTGTTCTTGTGCCTGTTGCTGCCCTCCTTGCTTCTCTCCGTTCCTAAATAAGGCCTTACGCAACAAATAGTCACAGAGGGCCCCCGGGCAGAAGCGGCGTGCCTCTGCTATAGAGCAGGTGCCGCAAAGGTTCCTGTTAGGGTCTGCAGCAGGAACCCCAGGAGCAGCAGCAATCATATAGTGTACAACCCCACCACGTACACCACCACCACCACTACTACCACCTTCTTCTCCTGCTCCTGCTGATAATCCTGCTCCTCCTGTTGCTCCTGCTGCTGCTCCTGCTGCCTCCCCACCACGAACAATCTTTAATACACGAACACGACCAGGAAAAATATTCTCACAAGGAAATTTGTTTACTAATCCTTGAGAGAATCCCCAAGGATTTACACTCCATAGACTATAAATAGGTTGCTGTCTTATTTTCTCCCCTGTACCCCACATACCCTCATCTCCTATTGCTCCTCCTACTCCTCCTGCTCCTCCTGTTGTTGCTGCTCCTGTTGATGGTGCTGGTCCTGCTGCTGCAACTGACATACTCATCCCAGCAGGAGGGGGGGCCCCCATTGTCGGGATACTAGAAGACCCTCCAGAAACAGGCATAGTACCATTGGTGGACCCCGGCCAACACTCATCAGGCGTAACCAGGGATGTGGGGGCCCCCTGCATGCAGGGCACTGGCCCCTGCTCTAATGGTAGAGGCCCCGGGGGAACCTGTTCTGTCGGCATCCCCAGGGGCCCCTGGAAACCCCCACCATATTCCCAAGAAGAGGCTGGAGCAGCCTCCTGTCTAAAAGGCGTGCATGCAACCTCTGCACTAGGGGGCCCCTGTGGCCCTCCCTGGGCCCAGTTCCCTTCACCTACTGCGCTAACAGGGGCCTCCGCAGGCGTCATCGCCACCCCCCCAGCTGGGGTGTTGTAGGATATAGGGGTGATAAACAACGAAGAGGAAACAGGGGGCCCCTCTCCCGTAGGTGGCGGCAAAGCATACTGCTGCTGCACGTTGTGTCCCGGGGGGGGCCCACCACCAAACCCCTGGCCAGTTTGTACAGGGGCCCCTCCCTGCAAGAACGGGGGCCCCACATCGTCATCACTCGGTGCACTCACAGTAAATCCCGTGACCTCAACAACAGGAGGGGCCCCTGCTGTATCAGTTTCCGAAGAGGATTTCCATGAGCTAGAGGGGGCCGAGGGGCCCCACGAGGCATCCGAACGGCCGCCAGCGGGGGGCCCCCTTACCGTCCCTTTCTCTCCCGATAGTCTTAAACGCCTGTATTTCTTCCCAGTACCCACAGCTGCACTTCTACGTGGTGATAGGGGGGCCCCCACGCAGCCCCCGTGTTGTGCCGTATCAAATGAAGCAACTGGGGGCCCCTGTTGCGCATATGGTGGGGTTACAGCGGGGGGCCCCGCACCTACCTTGCCACTACCCCACGGGTGTGAAGAGGGTTTGCCTGCCCCCTTATCAATAGGAGGAGCACGGACTGATGGATTTATTGCCTCAGGAGACTGAGGGCCGTGCCCTCCCTTCCCTCCATGCAACAAGCTCTCTATACACCGCCGCCTTGTGCGGATAGGTTTCGCTCTGTTGGGCCTCTTAGGACTACGTGAGGAAGAATTAACAGAACCCCGAATGGATTCATCTGAATCTGTCACGAATCCACCACTACTACTGCTGCTACTACTACTACTGCTGCTGCTGCTGCTCTCCTTTGGGCAGCTGAACTCCGAGGCGCTTCTGCTGTCGCTGCTGCTGCTGCTGCTTGTACTGCTACGCCGGCTGCTACTGCTGCTGCTGCTACTGCTGGTTGTCCCGTGCGCAGCATCTGTTTCGTGCACTACAATTGGACCTGTGGATGTTCCGGTTTCCACTGCGTTATTCCTCTTTGCTGCACTGGCTTGGCTGCTGTTCTTTAGGGATTTTTTTCGCGCTCTCTTTGCCAAGTATTCCCTCTCCATTGCCTCCATCTTATCCTTGAAGGCGAATCTGCTGTCCATAAGCAGATTCTTCCTCGACTCCCACGTGTCATCCTTGGGGCCGTAGCCCTTCCACCGCACCCGCCATTCTGGGGTCTTCCCATTGTATCGAAAAGCTACAAGTTTCTTGACGGTATAGATATCGGACATCTCCTTCAGACAAACAGAACCATGCACCTTCCGAGACAGACACCCTCCCTTTGCATTATATGGGGCCCCCGGGGTTCGTTACCTGCCCTGAGGGCCCCCTTTTGGCGACGTAGACCGTCGCCAGGAAGCCTTCTCCTCGTGCCACCCAGGCAGCTCTAAGGAAACACGAGGCCCCAGAGAGAGAGCCCCTCTACATGTAGCTGTCTGCAAACGAGTCTGTCCTTGTCATCGAAGCTGCATATAGAGCTGTAGCCGCATCAGGTAGCTAGCCAACCACACCGACGACAGCTGTTTGAACCCATTACGGGACGAGAGCCCTTGGCGCGGAGGGGCGGACGGGTTTGAAATGTTCTAGAGGTGCATGTAGGAACCGCAGGAGTACAAAAAAACGTAAAAAAAGAGAAGACCATGAAAAGGTCTAAAGAAATTGAAGCGACGAACTCTCAAGTGACGCGGTGGGGAAGCCGAGGCAGCACAGACCCAAGAGAAAGCAGCAAGAAAAATAAGATTTCAGGTGTTTTCTTGTGACAAGTGCTTATTAAAAATAAATTATTCCTTCTACTTTCAACAGGCAGTAGACAATGGCTAGTCTCTCAAGCAACACCCCTTGTGCGCCTACAGGCTGTGCAACCCAGTACACTCGGTCCCCTGGTTGTAGTTCTCATTGACTTGATCTCACGTTCTGGTTTCATAGAAAACTCAAGGTTTAATGCATATTTTCAGCATTTTTAGATATATACAAGTTAAGCGGATTTAACGGAGCAAATATCTACATTGGACCCGATAACGTTTCACGTTGCGCAGCGCCTTCTTGCGTGAACGCCTCCATTGTTTTGCTGTGGAGCAGCCTTTGAATATCAGAAATGAGACACAGTGTTCACTTGAAGTTCGGCATCTGGGGTATCCGTGGAAATAATAAGCGTTCGGCTGCGTGCACACGGAGGTCGACGTAGCAACAATCAACAATCTTAACGCGTAGAGGGTTGTGCCGAAGAACTACGTCTCAAGCAGGAAATGGGTCCGTCTAAAGAGATTTGTTCATTCTGCGTGGTGCAGCTCTTGAAGCCATCTGCGTCTCTACTTGAGTGGCTCAGGCAGATCAATGGCTAGCAGTTCATACAGTAGGCACGCCACTCTATGTGGGAGCATCGAAAGGCTTGCCTTTTTACTTGAATTGCTTGACTTACCGGATGTTTGGGCTATTCGCTTGGTTTTAATGAACAGAATAAATGGGGTAGAAACACACGTTGAGCCGCCGCACCATTTTCTATTTGCTCTCGCAACCCCCGCAAAAATGTCAAAAATACCATCACAGAGATTGCTAACGTGTGGGGGGGCCAAAAAACTTGGACTCCAGTCACACTAACTTATGCACGGCTTGCTTATTTGATGGACCAAGACCCAAGCGCTGCCTTTTGAGCTGAATGCAGAAAGACCGGTCCCAGTTATGAATAAATCTGGGCTAGTTGCAGGCAGCAAGGCCGACGGCAACTAAATTAGTGCTACTACGTGGCAGGCCCGAAGAGATTAAGGAAATTTTCTCTGAACAACACTACATGGGTGACACGTGGAATTATCAGTTCACTCAGAAAGGCGGTCGTCATTCCCACATTGCAAATTTTAAGACTGCAAATGGACGGAGTAGCACCCCACCCTCTTCTTTTCGTTGTACCGACAAAGCCCGCGTATGACCTGTATTTGAATAAATCACATTCAAGAACCTGCTGAAAAACTATAGCTACTAGATTGCCCCTCTCACCAAAAGATTCGAATGGGTTGAGGCTCATGCAGTCTGCATCACGAATCTGGGAGAACCAGGGCGAAGTGTCTAGGCCAACATGGATTGTGTTTTGTAGCTAAGCGAGCACACAGCTTGCGATTTGAATTCCTGACTGATTCTGCCCTTCGGGAAGGCCTTGAGAATACCAGGAGCTGGATGCTACACCGAATAACCTTCCGGGTCAGGGGAACCGCAAGGATCCTCTTAGAGGTTGAAACAATAAAGAGGCAAACAGCAGATTATTTATGACAGTCTGTTCCTCTAGAGTGCATCCAACAATGTAGATGCCTGCGAGCCTCGTACCAACGCCACTAAACCTGTGTACTGTGCGAGTGTGACTGTAGACTGAAATGCCTTCGATTTCACGAGACAGACGTCGTCATGTCTTTGACAATCTTGAGCCCCGCTAGGGAAAAAACTAAGGAAGTATTGCGCTGCAAGACATGCTTAGTCAAACTAAGACCTCATAAGATTCAATCCCCATGAAACTGGGGATCCGTGTAACGATGTTGTTAATACCTCAGACCGATGGGGGTCTGCAGTAGGCGCGTCACCGAAGGGGAAGAAACCATCCTTAATTTGGCAGCCCTACTGTTAATGCTGAACACTCCGAATACCTGTTTTCTGAGAGAGCAACTTTACAACGAGACAAAGTTCCACGTCTTTGGAGAGTGGCACTGGCCACTTGGCCTTAAGGGATCGTCTGATCCGGGAACTGGCTACGCGTCGTTTACATTTGTTTCAGACATTTCATCGAATTTTTAGATATAGTAGTGAACTGCAACAATGTTGAAATAGGAAACAATGAGTGGGTTAAAGGGTTTCCCTGCCTGCTTGCTCCCTTGGGTGCCTCGAGACAGCAACTGTAGTGTACAGGGGGGGAGTTGTGTTCTGAGATACTGGATCTTCCATAATGGACCTGGAACCCGGAATATGTTTTAATTGGTGTTATTGTGCTTAATTAGTCAAAATTAGCTGGGAATAGTAGAGTCCAGCTATAGTAACAGAGTGGACACCAAGATCAACCACCTAGGATTCCTACGCAGCGCAGTCAGGCCAGCTACAGACTGCCACTGACGATCGGGGGCAGAAAGGCGCAAAAGATTCGGGGAAGCAGGGAGATAGTTGCAGACAAGTTATGTTTCATTGCTCAATCTGGCATTATAGGTATTTCTTGAGAGGTTTCACCGCTTTTTCCCGAGAAAATGGTCCGAGTTCCGCCAGATTGTCCAATCTGCTGTGAACCACTAACTGCAGATTTGGTTGCTCCTTCGAAGTGTGGACACATCTATCATCAGAAGTGGTGAGGAGGTTTGCATATCTTAGCCAACTCGGACCCACTTTACTGCAGGAGACGTGAGTAGTCGCTGTGTCTACCAGTGGCGAATTATCTATTGTTAGAGACGATAATGAGAATTCGTCTTCAAATGTTGCTGGCAAGGGCTTTTTCCGTATAATGCGCGTGTGCAGCTTAAGGAGATGGTTTTATTCTCCAAGCGGAATGTCGGGCAGGCGCTGCCCTGTGTGCAGAATTTCGTGTAGAGCTTCAGAGGTCGTACGGCTCCAGTTTGAATTAACTCGGCCAACTGCAAGTACGTATGAAGCCGATTCGCTTTTATAAGAATTAGGCTGGCAAACATCTACTCCTCCGTCATGCAACGGGGGATGGAGCCGACGCTCCCTCCCTTACTGCAGAGGATTGAAGATAAGAAGAAATACGGCTCCACACTTTTGTTGTTTATCCTCAGATGCCGACTCGACGGAAGAGGAGAGTCAAACTGCTGTTCTTCAGGTAAGATTCGCTGCTGCGACGAACTCCCCTTGACAAGCACGATATTGTGTTGTATTTATTGCTTTTCAGCACAAACAATTATGGAGCTGCGCGGTGAATGAGCGCACTTAGTTGTGTGCACATGTTTCAGACTCGCCTCGCAATGGCCAAGGAAACTGTTAATGCGCTCATGAGAGCCGATACAGAACGCGTGCGGGAATTCGTTGAGCTGAAGGTAAACATATTCGAAGGGCCCAATAAAAAGCCGCTGATTTTATGTACCAAGTAAACCATATGCGGAGAAGCACATTTTCTGCGTCAAATAACCCTTATAAGAAACATCACATTCACGCCCGTTGCTGCTTCTTCTTTACAGTGACATACCTGCGGCTTTTGTCTTCCTCTATATGCCAGCTGTTTTGTCCCCTTCATTCTGATTGCGTTGAAGTCAGCTTACCCAGCCGCGTATTCATTGAATATGTAAATGAAACAGGGCATATATGTATATGCATGCTTAGGTATATATATAAACCGTAACTGACCAATATGGCTTTGCCTGTGAACCTCCCGCATTTTGAAGGCAAAGCTGAAAGGATTTTTGTCGTTTGCTCACTGGGAACGAGGGCGAAAATCAGAATGCGTATGAGAACGCCGAAGTAGACTATATGTTATAAATCATTAAGTGAATGTAACTGTTCCCAAACAAACATGCCTTGGCGTATTGGTCCAGCAGTGAAGGTTCGTGTTTGCTTATGTTGCAGGACCGCGTGCGGTTGCTTCAGCTAGAGGCAAGCTCTCATATGTTGAGAGCTTCCCAGGCAGAGGCACGCGTCTCAGATTTCCGCTCCCGTCTTAGTCGGGCAAACGCCTGCAGGGTACGCCTTACTACGGAACTACATCAAGTGAAAAAGGAACTTCTCTTTCAAGCCACCAGAAGACAGTAGTGAGGCCTCCACAGTGTGTAGGGTGTAATTGATACATAGTAATTATGTGTTGTGCATGCATTTTATTCATACCATAAACTTGGATTACAGTGGGAGTTGGGTGGGGTGGGCGTGAGGAATTGGATTGGGAGAGAAATCATGTGTCCCGTCTCTTTTATCCACTGTACGTCTTGGATTTCTTTCCGTTGTTTCTTTTTCCCTCTGCAGTTTGGCAGAAGCAGCGACGATGAGCGAGACAAGGGCACTGGAGTTTTTTCAGGAGAGAAACGGCGTGAGCAGGAACCTCATGCTTCTCCCTCTACCCCATGCATACGCTCTCCGCCCGTATACGATTCAGTGGAGACGTGTGCACGAGCTTTGTTGGGGCAAGATAAGCCGTGTTGCTCTGTGGGAGTGCAAGGGAACCTCGAAATAAGCCTACCTGTCACATTGTTCATGCTTGCTAATTGCCACAGGAGGACATCCGCGATGCGCTGAAGCTGCAGCACAGTGTCATCTGTGAGCTCCAGAGGTGAGGAGAGTGGAACCAGCGGTTTACACTCGAACTTTTAAAACACGGGACACTTAGTTTGGCTGCGTCGCTGCCTCTAGTCGCCACTGACACCAGCAAAAGAATGCACTGCAAATTTCGCAGCTGACGGCCTAGTTGCCCCATGCCCTAGCCAGAGCCCTCAGCCCCCTTGTTTCTCTTTGGTTTGATTGAACATTGGAATGCTTTTCGAGTGTTTTTCTGCAGTGAAAATGCTTGGCTAAAATCTGAGAAGATGAAGCAGCGCCGGCATTTTAGGGATGCAATAGAGCGGAAAGACTCTGTCATACAACGGTATTGAATACACATAGCACTGAGCGAGTGATTTGCCTGTTCTTGGTAGCTTGGTTGCATCCTCTGCTTTGCCGTCTTCTCTCTCTGCATGTTGCTGCAGCTTGCGTACCGCTGCCATGACGCAGTCGCCTCCCCATTCCTCGTGAGTTGCAGTCTCTTGGTGCATTTTGTCTTCTTATTTCACTAGACACATCTGCGCAGAGTGTATAGAGAGCTAGCAACAAGTGCTTCTCCATGTTTTTTCTGTTGAACTTTCTGCAGAAGGGTGGCTGCAACTCTAAATGGAAGGAGGCCCCCAGCCACGAGGCGGCTGGGGCCGTCAACCGTTTCTCCCTCCACAGCTCCCCTCAGAGCGACTTATCCGGGCACGCCGTCAACTCCTACCAGGTGTTCCGACACGAACGTTGCCAGATCAGCAGCTCAGAAGATTGTAGAATGTTCGAGAAGGACAGCTACTCTGGAAGTCGGAGTTAAGCGCTCAGAATGCGTTTCGTTGTTGTGCGCGGTCAGAGTTGGCAAGGGGTCGCTTATCTTTTTGCTGCTCCTACTCGCAGCGATTTCTTGGCCTGTAGCGGTGCAAGCTCAACTCCCTGAGCATGCTGTCTAGAGTTCCATGCATGTTGATGCCTGTCTGCATGTATGCGCATATGCTTGGGTGCGTTTGTATATGACGAATAGGTGCACTAACGCCCTCTTATTTTTGTAGGGATCGCGCGTAATGCCAAATTTGGGAGAAGTTTGCGCACATGTGTAAGCGTGGAAACGCATGTGCGCGTGATCTGTGTTCATAGATGCACGCATACCTGTGAATAACTTATACATACTCATTTGTGTATTAATTTGCACATGCACACATATGTGTACAGTGCGAGTCGAATTCCGTTACCTCGCTAATATGCATGAGGTACGGACAATAAACACGGCTGTTGTAACTAGAGCAGCGCAAAGTGGATGGTTTGTGGTAAATACACAGCAGGAGTATTCTACAAATATACCTCGACGTCTGATGGCTTGCGATTTGGACTTCATGAGGCCCAGCTGCGCCTCTCCGCCAGCAGATATACAGGATTGGCAACTCGTTTTTTACGTAATTCAATATTTCTCCATCTTAAACTGGTAGCTAACTAGTTTTTTCAGCCTGCGCCTGGCACTTGAATTACATAGTCAGATTTATGCGTGAAAGTATGCGCTCATACGTGCAAATATTCACACGCACCCAATAACGCCAGTGAGGGAGGCATGGAGGTAGAACATCCAAGCCTCTGACTGCACGTTTAACGTGTTTTAACTAGCTGGCGTCCCTCCCGTCTTCTATTGAGGGTGGGCAACGACCTCGTAGTTTGGCGTGTCATCTAGGGCTGCATTCAAGTCTTATGGGCGCTTTGTGCGTCAGAAGTAGTATAGGACCATCAGCCCTTTACCTGTCTTCCCCTTGAGATCAATTTGTCATGAATACTGTTCTACAACACTGGTTGGCACGGCTACAGACTGATGAGCAGCTCAAACATGTAATGTCTACACATTCAGGCAATGTGACGAACTTCGTTGTTTCCTTCGCCCGCCTGCCAAAAAATATTTTGATAGGAAATGTGTTGGTACGCCTGGTACCAGTTAAATATGTAAACGTCCCCTTCGGAGAAACGCTTCTGCATCTGTGGACTTGCATGGCTGTAGCACCAGAGGTAGACTGAGCTGGAACCTGGTGTGTTTTTGCGTCCACCACGTTTTCGCTATTACACACGGGTTTGTGCGCCTCGTGTATCATTCCTTCTCATCCTTCTTTCCAAAAGCAACCTTAATGTAACTATTGAATTCGCCGTCCCCAAATATAAACATGTGGTCTAAATTTCTGAACGTCTTCACCTCGAAAGTCGATGCCCATCCTGCACAAACTGAGAGGGACCGCAGGGGAACCGTATCATCCCCAACGTCCAAAACTCTGCATAAAAACGGCAAGACACAAGGACGAAGGAATCTGTATAAAACCAGACTCACGACTCCTTACACGTGCGCCTGCACTACAACCAGAAAGCGCTAAACGAAACACTGACAGCACACATGTAAAAGACACAGACAGACAACTTCGCAACTAACCACAGCAACTAACTAACCACAGGCCCCCCTGCCCATCATTTTGCCATATTCATCTACGGTGCTTGTAACGTAGACGTCAGCCTCTTCGTTAATTAAGTTGTGTTTCAATCTGAAGCCGAGTACAGCAACAAGTGCTGTTGTTGACTGTACTGGGGTTTCGTCTCATGCTGCCCTACGGGATGGGCTTGCGAGAGAGATCAGTGCCCGCGTAAATATAGCCAACATCAGTAGAAGGAAAACTGAAGACGCTCCAAATGCACCTCGTAGGAACCTGGGAAGGGATAAAGACAGTAAACACGTGCACAGCCACATGTTGAATGTATTTCCAAACGTGATTGACGAAGGCTTCTAGACCTGTGGTTCTAGTGCAGAAATTGGAATATTTGAAAGTATGAATTGCCTCAGCATTTCATCCTGTCCTCTTTTTCCGAGTGAAGCAGTCCATAAATTGCTGCGAATAGGCGCCCCTCACCCCTGGGTCCTTCAAGATCCCCTGCATGCGTTCTCTGGCGGTTTCCGCACGAACTCGCAATTCCGGCTCCAACAACATCGTCCAATTGCCCAAGGTGTATACAACTTCTTCGAAATCTTCTGCTGCTTCAGCCATCATATGGCTTATTGCTTCCATGCTTTCCTGCGCCTCTGTTCCGTAGCGCTGCACCTGCAGCGTTCGCTGTGCGATCTGCTTAATAGTTGCGTTTTGCACCAACTCCTCCCTCTCATGTTGCATCTTTGACGAAGTCCCCAAAGCTTCTGTCTCGCTGTCTCCCAGCGCAACCGCCTTCACCATTTGCTCAGTCCAGTCAGCCTGTGGTGCTGTTTCCGACAGTCTCCTGAATTCCAGAATTCGGCCGTCCACCGGCGTACTCTTTTGAGCCTTTCCATCTGGGCCACTAGCAGAGACTGCAGGGGAAGGGGAACCCGGTTTTTTCGGTAGCAACTGTCGCACAACCAAATGGTCTTGTCCGTAGAGCTGAATGGCAAAACGCGAAGCGGAAATCCACCGTCCCTCTTTCACTGTCGGGCAGCGCTTGAAACAAATTACAGAGGCATTAGTACTCACGGGGGCACATCTCCGTGTAACTACCCACACGCACATTATAAACAATAATCTCAACTGTGTTAACGAGGGGCTGTAGTCCGCAGAGCATTTCTTACGTCGATGTCCGGCAGGAGGGCATAGATAGAACCAAGACTTCGGGAGAGGTCCCGTAAAATGTCCACAGGAATAAGACTGATATCGAGCAGAGTCCAGAACGTCAAGTCGACGGGGTCATTGTACCTTGAACGCAAGAAATACAATAAACACAAGCAGGAACCAATTCCCACTCCACAATACCTACTTAAAAAGGCCACAAGTTATGGCAATGTAGACTGCCTTCATCCGCAAGCTCCCCATTTACTTTCACAAACTTATGTCTCCTTGTTTGTGTTGTCTACCTGTTACACGACCACTACTGCAGTAAGCACACCGTCCAGATCAGTACGCGTTATGCGGTACTTAATGCATGCTGAGACTGCAGCAACGAAACCCTTTATTTTGACTGACGCATGGGGTCTCACCCAGTAAGAATAGCTTTGATTGCTTTAAAGCTTCCACCCGTTGCAGGAGCAACGAGGGTGTATGAGTTGATATATCTGTCCTTCCACTGCTGATCCACCACTTTGTTGAGAAAATAATTAAAGACAACAGACCCCAAACTGTGCACTAGCACGTCTGCCTTTGCTCCTCCCATGGCTTCAACCCGTGTTTCTATCTCGAGCTTCAGACGAGCAAAATCCATCTACAATTCAACACACCGTAGAGTTTTGAACATCCCCAAAATTGCGCTTGGAGCAGCTGCAATCTGCATATGTATGCCTTGTGGATGTTCACCTCCCAAATATCGCCCTCAATTATAAGCAGCAGCATGGCGAAACAAACAATGCATAGCCACTGAGTCTCCGTGCTCGCCCTCCCTGCCCTCCCGGCTGTCAGAGTGTAGAGCACCTCACGATCTGCAACTCTTCTGCAGTAATTTACACTCGTGTACAAGAACTCGGATCCAACTTGCCTGCCAAGGGGGAAGCCGCCAATCATATGGTATGCCTATGAGGGATTTGCCCTCCTGGTAGCCCAATGCGTAGAACGTGCGTAGCATCATGTGGAAGTACGCCGTGCCTGGTATTCCAATCCGTTCGTTGTAGAAGTAGTCCAAATAGTCGAACCCGTGCGCAGTCCCATAGCTGTCGACCTGAAAATAGATTAAAAACAACTTGTTGGTAACACGCAATCTCTGGAACTGTGGTCTGTGCCACCGTAGGTAGCTGAACAGACAGTGAGCACATCTAAAGAAAACTATACTTGGGTGCAGTTCATGCCCGATACATATATTAATCACAGACCAACGGGCGAAAGCCAATGTTTAAGCAAAGCGGTATTCCAAGATGGCACTGACTTACATCAATGTTGACTCCCTCTTTACTGGCATAAACCTCTCCCTTCTCATCTGCAGTTGGCTGCATCATATCCATCCAACAAAGCTGGTGGGAACGCGGAGGCCAAACAAGGGAGAGCGAGGCCCACAGCCTGAATGGAACTGGGAACGAGACGGGCGAAGAATGGTTGCAGCGTGGAAGGGAGGCGTCCTTGGCACTGATCATTAGACCACTGCCTGCTACCCCTGGGAGCATAAAGATCGGATGCTCAGGAATGCTCGTCGCGCACACTGCCTCTCCTTCATTTCCACGTTCAAGCCCACTAGAGTCAGTTAACTTTGATGGCGTCTCAGCACACAACTCAACCAGCTGGAGGTGCATGAGCAGGCACCAAACACAAAATAAGGCATAGAGTGGTGCGTGCCGCCGGATTGGTCCGGGGCCTCGCAGTGATTTTGCTCTATAACAAAGCATCTCCGTGGCGATAGATCCCCAGAATAGCTAGACACGTTTCTACGCCACTACACTAGATTCATCCTCAATGATTAAAAGAGCCAACACTGCTGCTTGCCAAGCTAGGAAGAAGGCGCACACCATGGAGAAGCCGTGTTGTGCACCCGTTAACAGGCTGTTAAGATGAATCCAAGGATGAATATAGACCAGTAGAGGAATAATAACAAAATAATAATATGGTAATAATAGTAAAAGAAAACACTCACCATCCCACCTTATTTGCATGCATTTCCTCTGGAAGCCTTTGCCACGGCAAACGGTCTGGTGCACGGACCGCTCGGGGATATGGGCGCCTCGAAGTGCTTTCCAGCTGGGTGTGCGGCAAGCAGATGTGAATAAAGCTGGCTTTATGATAGTTTGCTCATAAACTAACCGAATCTCTTCCTCCTTTTCAAGCCATTGGCTGAATTGCACAGTTATTCTATGTAGCTCACCGTCCCCCCTGTCTTGGAGCTGCACACTTCCACTGGCCCTGCAACCGCGGGTGGTTTCCTTTTAATTGACTTTTTGAAGTGAGGCATGAATATCTACGTGAGGTTTAAGGTACTAGCAGAAAGCGACGCCGCTAGAGCTTCACAGCTCAGGGTGACTGTTGGGTCTTGCAGGACATTCTCGTGTAAGGTTGAATTACTGTGTTCTCCACTCCTGTGTCTACCTCTGCTTTTGACATTCCGTAAAGCAAACATGGGAGATAAGAAAGGCCAGCTTTACGTTGTTGACGATGTTTTGGCATGCAAGAGAGTGGGCGGAAAGTTCTACTACCGGATACGATGGAGTGGGTATGGGGCTGCTGATGACACTTGGGAGGGCAAGGAATGCTTTACTGCAGGATCGCTTTCTCATTTTCGCCCAAGGCTTGATGCATTAGAACAGTTATGGCTGAACTCGGGAGCAGAAAAAAGACGCAAGCAGAACGCGTCAACCAGACAGACATCGGCGCCGAGACGCAGAAGGGCGCGGGGTACAAAGACTAAGAAAAGCCCCAAAAAAGCATCAGGAACCAAGAAAAGCCAACCAGCGAAACCCAAGATGGTCAAGGGAGGAAACAAAAATAAGAACACACGAACGAAGGGGAGGAGGGGAAGGGCAGCGGCTGCAAGTAAGTAGCACTTCGTGACGAGCATTGGCATTACTTCTCTTGCTATGAGGAGTCCCAAGGATTTTAATGTTGGCCTGCAGGCCTTTTGCAAGATGTCATGCTCACATCAACCTGACGTTGGTGGTTGAAGTCTGGCAGAGCAACTACCGCTTCGGTGGCAGTTGTACACCTGTGAGGCGTCTGCGTCCACGTCGCCGCGGAAGGTTGGAAGCAACGAAAGACTGCGAGGTGCAGGCAGAGAGGCTAACAAGCAAGGCCAGATGGACTGTCACTGTTGCAGATACTACACCCATCCAATTCCTCGCAAAGTGCTGCGGATGGCCCTTCACGCGGAAATATTCATTCGGTTTACTTTTGAGGCGGGCGATGCTCCCATTCTAAACTGGTTCAGAATGGGCCTTCCATCCGAATGAGCTCTGGGTCGAACGTGCGTCGGAAGAACATACTACGGCAGCAGACAGAAGGCGACAGAGCTCGGCGGAGGTGCAGGCGAAGGGTTACTCATTTGGCTGGAATATGCTGCAATCCTCCGGTTGCCCCACCGGCGGTCTGCGGGAGAATACATTTTATTTATTGCTTTGGGGGTTTGCCCCACAGGGTATGGTTCTTGGGACATGGGTAGGGCAATTATCTGGAGGGCACTGGAAGCCCAATGGAATCCCGTTTTTTATTTTCACGTCTAGTGAAGCCAGGTAAAGATAGTGCGAAAGTATTATGGTTGGCATACGTGATTGTTGGAGCTGGGGCTGTGGCCCCGCCGTGTGGGCTCCCTTATGTTCATGTTCGAACGGAAATTCCCCATATCGAGAGTTTCTGCCGTTAACTCGAAGTGCAAGAGTTGAGAAATCAGCACAGATCTTTCTGTGGTCAGCCACTTCGTAAGTGGTGCTACTGTCTTTTGGAAACGGCCTTGACTGATGTCAAGGGTGACAAACTGACTGTCCTCATTCGACTTTGTTGAGTGGGCGATTCCATCTTCTGTGGTAGAGAGCATGCATAGCTTGCAGTTGCATAGACCTGTGGAGCAGGAGTAGATCTGACCTGTGGAGCAGGAGTAGATCTGTTTAGGAAGAAGCCACATGCAACCCGTACTGCTGCTGACAGCTTGCATTAACACGGGCGGGCTATAGCGGTGGGAGGCGTACGACCTGAAGGGGTAGACACCACAGCTTCGTCAAAGAGGCTTAGGACAGCAGTGTAGAGACTTCGTAGAGGCACGCCGGGTAGTATTGCATCCAACAGACACACTGGTATGTGTACACAAGGAGTTTCAGAGGTCCACCTTACCTGGGGGGCAATTTCGATGCGCCGTATGCTGGGGGGAGATGCGATGTCTAAATTTACAATGCTTACTCTCTTCATACACTCTCTTCAAACAAGCCCTCAAGCTGTACCTTACAATAAAGGTTCGACACTATCACTCATTGACGTCGTTGCTCATTCTGGGGGAATCTAAAATAAGGAAACTGTTCCCCGTGAGAGATGCGCATCACCCTCTACAGCTTGACTGCTCTTGAAGACTTTTTCATGCCTCCTGGTAAGTGGGGATCGACTGAAGTGGACCTCGTGTGCTGTTATCCTCTTTGAGGAACGTGATTTGTTGAGGGAAGCCCAGTCGCTCAACTGGAATCAGCTCCCTTGGGGGAAGGTATTCTCTTCCTAGATGCCTTATCTCCTTGGTTGCCATGTAAGAAATTTCCTTTGGTCTACTGGAAAGGGCCTGCCCTCTATCCAGCAGGCCTGGCTTTTTTCTCCCGCAAAAACACTGCTCACTGAACGGCCGATACTTGAATATGCAGAAGGGCTCAAGAAACAGGAGGAAGCCAGGAAATGGACTGCTGGGGTGAGAACTGCCTACTGTGCCACCACAGTGAGCGTGCATTTGGTGGGCCTTTCACACCAACAAATTTGCACAGTCAGCGGTTTCTGGTTGCGAACCCTCCCCAAGCAATAAAACTGAAAGGGACTTCCAGACTGCACCTGGAAAGAATTAGGAGAAGGTGAAACACAGCAACCCGGAGTAGGTTCCTGGCTGTTTTGGAAGAGAGGTCCAGGTGAGGAGTGCTTCCTGCTCGCTGCTGCTGGAGTTAGAGCGCCTTGGGTTAGAGCTCCTGCGGACTGGAATGTTTTCACTATGTGTGCATTCAATAGCGACGTATGGACAGGCTAAACTGCTCATGACAAATTAGAGTGTGCCCGTGTAAAATGATTTATCCGTCCCAGCTAGACGTAGGTACAAGCGGCAAGTTGACCATATCTGCCGTCTAGACAGTAAGAGGTCAATGCCAGGGGAGAAATCGGAGCTGAAAGCTGCACTCGTTTGCATTACGGAGAATGGTAGAGTTTCTCATACGAACAGGACGAGAAGGCAGTGTACTTCTTTGTTAGCATTGGAGGCTTTGGAAATGCTCGGCTAAGAACGTTAGCGTACAGTGTGGCATATGCCTATGGCCAGAGGATTTTTTAGACCCTCAAAAATGCCTCATATGCGCCATCATTGCCTTCCATCTGTGCATAGAGAACCTGGCTTGGCATGCTGTCAACTTCTTTGGGGGCTTATGTGATAAGAAATGCAGTGCACTAGTGTTGCGGGAAGCCATGGTGTGTGCTGCACAGCTGCCAGGCATCAAGTTCATGAGTACATCATCGGACGGCCGTAGTAGAAAAGCACGCACAAACTAACCGTGAGAAACGCCAACACGGCCAGGATGGCACTCGATTACTCGCTCTTGGCCGATTGGCGTATCTCGAACGACAAGCCTGTGTCTGTGGAGTGCTCCGCAGCACACAATCAACACACGCTGATCTTCGCGACAAGACGATTGCACAAACATGGCGATTGCATGGAGGCGAAGAGAAAAAGACATGAATGCTGAGTGAACTAAGTGAACTGAAAGTAGGGAAGTGGAAAATTGGCTAGGCGAGTTCACGAGTTCACAACAGCAACTGGCTTCTGGGGATGCTGCTGCCGGCCGCTGGCATCTCGGGCAGGCAAGTCCACTGGCGTTGCCTCTGACCATTACGGTGCTCGCTTTCTTACCCCGGATTTTGAAGCCTAGTGTTAATGCAGACTTCCGAATATGACAAAAACGTATGTATTGAACCTCTGTCAGCGCCAACGCCAAGCTGCATGCGAGGCGAGATTTGGGGCGGGCTGGGCTTATCCTAATCTGGAGAAAAAACAAAAACTCCGACGTATGACAGTTTTTGGCAACTGAACATATTATGCAGTTTTCCTGTGGCCTTTGCTTCTCGTTCGCACATGTGTCTAGGATCTCGTCCCACAGAAAAGCAGCAAGTTCTCTGAAACTGAAGGCAATTGAGCTCGCAGGATGTTCTGTGATGTCTCGAACCGTCTGAGAAAACTGATATGAATGCCACTGTGGCATCTTGACAGTGAAGACGAACCTAAAAATCAAGCGCCCAACACATTCATCCAAGAAGAACGACCCAATGCACGACGAACACCTTCGGCTGTTCAGCCCCCTGCACAACTAAAAATGCTTCCTAATGAACGTAATCTAAACCGGCCAACCTAAAATTAAGACAGAGAAACGCTTGGGGGTAGTGTAAAAGCGCATGATATGCAAGCAAAAAGCTACCGTTTCCTCTGCCTTTTCGTATATGCCTACGTTGGTGCAAGCTGTTTGTGGAAATTAGTGATGGCATTTTTGGCTTTCTATGGTGAGAAACCGAACACGTGACGTTATCGGTTGGAGGCTCATCCTGCCACCGACAGTAGCGTTTCTTCCTGAAAATGTCTGTGATAAACGAAACTGCAACATACGTCAGGCTGAGGCCCACTTGCCTGGTACCACTAAATATCATTCTCTGTATTTTCGCGCTTAAGGCGCCGTCCATTGCTCACCGTGGGACGGAGCATAGCAACATAAATGCCCAATGACTGTTTCGGTGACAACAAAAAAAAAGAGCCGTAATGGTATGCTTTGCAGCTTGGTTTCTCTTAGGAACAGTGTGTGTAGATGGACGTTATTTGGTGTCTTCGCTGCCATGTCGGGTGTGTCACTGGCGTCGGTGCTTTTGCAGGAGACGTTGAGCGCTAGTGCTGGTGACGACATCAAATGTTTGATGTGGCTCCTTGCTCCTTCGTTTTTGGTGCGTACTGAGGTCGTTTTCTCTTTGTAGGGGATTCGGTCTTTGTTGCTTCTGCTCAAGGCGGTGCTCAGTCCCGCTCCTCCAGTTCGTATGCGGCTCCATTCCGCGTATCGCTCACCACACATATTACATAGAGGCTGAAGCAAGACCCCTCTCGTCTCCACGGCTTTCTGCCTACAGCAATCCCTGGTTGTCGTCTGAACTCGCTCCCTATATCCGTCTAAACTGGTTCACCGTTATAGCAACACCTTCTCTTGTACGAGCTTAATTCTGGTCATTTCCATAGCGATTGTCGCATTCGGGGCAATAACACCTTTGCCTGGATGGGCTCTAAGAGGTACCGTCTCTCCTGTCATGTGAATGCGGCGGTTCCGTTGCTCGCACCTGCACCCTTGAACCGTACGGTGTTGTTGGCGAGGACTCCTCAAATTTAGCGGAGGAACCCCTTGGGATTCAATCAGGATCAAAACAGCCTTGCGTTCTTAAAAAGCAAAGTATTTTTCTCCAGCCATAAGGTACCCTGGCCACGGTGGCACACGGGGATGAGGCGAACGCGGGGAGGGAGAAAGCACCTTTTTTGTTGCGCCACACCCTTCTTCGCGCTTGCTACTCGGGCTGCATGGTAGGATCTCATACAAGCATGTCACAGCCCCCTTTTGATGCACGAACTAAGACAGCTTTTAAACACTCGCTTAACTCTCAGTAGCCACCTTTTATGAAAGCAGGGATGCGTGAAGCAACACTAGACAGAGCGTGCCACAGTATAGTACCCGGGGATGCATGCACCATTGCCGATCAAATTCGAGGTATGTTGCATTACGTAGTACTAATGGTTTGGAGAATGTAAGAGTCACGCTTTGCAGCAACAGGTGCAAGCATAAGCAAGTGGTTACAGTCAAACCCATCACCCTTGGGATGCCTGGCAGTGGCGTCGAGCCGTTTCGGCTGGTTGCTCTCTTCTTCCCCTGCCATGCCCGTCCTTTTGTCACAATATCAGTGCAATCTAGGGTCAAAATTCTAATTCCTCTTTGGAAAGATACCACTTGATGCATTGAAACCTGCGGGGAGCACGAGGGGGAAGGAAAGCCTTTTGGGGCTTCCAGAGTGCTCACGGGAAGCGGGGGAAGGAGCGGTCTGGTGGAAAGTAGGGGTAATTCTAGGGAATTTGCAGCTTTAAATATACAATATTCATTATAAAGTAATATAGATAGTGCGGGGTGAGAAATAGCAATGAAAATATACATCGTTCACTGCAAGGGCGTAAACTAACCAATGCCAGCCCACGTGGCTGCGGGGGAAGGCAAGGGGACTCGTTTCTGGGTGCCGTTCCAAGAGCGTAGGATGCTGCAGACCGTCGTTTGATGCTGATTGTGAATTGCTTTATGTTGCGTCTTTCTGTTCCACAGTAGCCCGTATGGCTGCCGCTTTCTTCTCATTTTTCCACTGAGCCTCCCCCCCTGACGGACCGCTCGCCCCCCCTGTGGCTGAGCAGTGCGTACCGCTGCAGAGGCGGTGGGATCCGTGGTTGTTTTCCTTCTGCGTCAGATCCCATTATTTATGTAAAGGGAAGGACAGAAAGGAGGGACACGTTATGGGGAGGGGGCCTAGTCCCTTAGCAGCTCTCCCCCCTCCCCTTCGCTGGCAAGTTGTCTCTCATATCCGCAGTTTCTGTTGTTTGCGGTGCGTCTCGATGCGTTGGGGTCCTATTTCCATCTTTAGTTTGTAACGCACGTTAACCTGCTTTCCTGGCCGCTGCTTTTCCCCTTCATCTCTCCGCAGCGAGATGAGCCTTCGTACGGCCCTCGTAGCGGCTCTCTCCACGGGTCTGTGCTGCAGCCTGTTGGCTGTTGGCTCTTCGGACGCGAATCCCCCTTCGCTTCCGCCGGAAATTGTGGATTCTTTAACCGAAGCATCAGGGAATGCTGCCCAGCTTGAAGAAGCTGCCATAGAACAGGTTCCGGGGCAGGCCCCAGAGGAAGACCCCGTGGAAGAGGAGCCCCTTGAAGGCAACGGAGCAGATGAGGGTCCCGGTAGTTCTGAAGGTCCGAACTTGCGCCGGCTCAAGGCCCGCAGGGGTGGAGCCGCGAGGCATGGAAAATCGTCAAGGAATTCTCCTCAAGCCCTTGGCCCAGGCTGGGGTGGCTTTCTTCTGTAAGGCACATACTAGAATCCCGACATCCTCCAGCACCGAAGATTCTTTCTTTCATGGGATGCTGCTTGAGTCTAATTTCATTTGTTTGTACGCATCTGCGTTTCCGGTTGTGGTGTAGAAGACACCCAGAGGGGCTAACACCAGTTGTTTCCCGTTTAGGTGCAAGAAACGGCAGCGGGTCTGACTGCCTGCGTGTTTTTATTTTGGAGCATGCACGTGATAATATGCTCATTCTGCATGTGCAGTGCAGCCTCAATATAAATGAGGCACTGACAGGGGGCGTGCACTGCGTATTAATGCGGGCTTGTGTGTGTATGCAGCGCGTTGGGGTCCTTCATCTCTGCTGTAGCCTTGTGGCGCAAGACAAGCGAGCTGTACCACAGTCCCAAGCAAGCCCTCCGGAAGGCGAAGATGAGGCTTTTAGGTCAGTATTTGCCACGTTGGGGGCGTGCTAGCCCGGAGAGCGACTCTTGTAGCTCGTCTTTGGGTTGCATGCTCAGTCGCACGCCTGTAGCTTTTTGCATCATCTATAGTGTTTTTGTGCATGTTGATGGGGTGGAAGACACAGGATGCATATCCACGCTAGCAAGTATCCCTCTGTCGCGTATGTAGGTGCAGTGCATCTCAGCATCAGCATCAGTTCGTGTAGTTCCATGGGTTTCGCTTCTGACCTGCATGGGCATTTTGATTATCGTTGCATGAGGGTCTGTTGACAATTCAGATTGGACAGTTGTATCCGTTCCCGTCTGTCCGAGTTGCACTAAAGCATGGTAGTGATGCGAATTGCTTGTGGTTGTCGCAGGTCAGGTGCCGCATTCGTGGGAAGACTATGTACGGAACTTACCGGTGTTGGACGAGATGGAGTTCCCAGAAATTCGTCCTTTGCTGAGGCGCCTGGACAAGAAGCCTGTTGTGCTGATGTCAGTGCCAAAGCCGAGGGCCCGTCTTGCAGCATTCTTGGGGCTGACAGATGAACAGCGGGAGGAAGGGATTGTGATAAAGGGGAAATCAACTGCTGGGTGTAGTGCGAAGGAAGTGGCGTTCGAGCTGTTCGCTCATGAGAAGTTAGCAAAGGGCCTGCCGCTATCTCTTCCAGCTTTGGGGGCTTTCAGGGACATAGACGGCAGCACGCTGTACCTCATAACACCTAGGGCTCGTGCAGATGTTTCTCTGTACACCCGGCGCATGCCCGAAGAAGTTTCGCTGCGGCTGGCATTTGCCGAGATGATCTATGGGCTGTGGGGCATGCACAAGCGTGGCTGGGTGCACCGTGACATTAAGGGTTGCAACTACTTCGTGAGTCAAGATGGACACGCATTGCTGGCAGATTTTGAAGGCTTTTGGAGAAACGGCATGCATGCGATTATGTACGGAGAGGAGGTTGAAATCATTTTCACTGAGCACTACATTGCGCCCGAGCTGACGTTTGACGGCGAATATCAGGTTTTCGACTACAAGACCGACGTGTTCGCCCTCGGTATCACTTTCAAGGAAATGCTCGAGTGGATGGGAAATCTGGAGGTGCCTCACCGGGACCTCGCAGAGGACCTCATTAGACACATGACCGATCCAGACACGAAGAACCGGTACGACTTGATGCAGTGCATGCAGCATCCTTACTTCGAAGGAATGGACTTCGACCTTGTTGAGAAGAAAATGTACGGGAAGGCATTTGAGGGGACCTACCAGACGCCATACAAGTTTCTTTGATGTTCTGGACAACCCCAGACCGACACTTAGGCCCCCTCTGCTTCTTTCTCATCCTACACACTGCACGAGATTCAGGGAGAAAGAGAGAGGGGTATTTCAAGGGATAAGCCGCGGTGGGAGGCGCCATGTGTGTCCCCTGTGACCGCAAAATGACAACGAATGGCAGTAGACAGCACCTTCGGCGGGCTTCTAGACGCTCCGCAGTGCTGTGCTTGGGTCTTTGTGCCTCTTCCCGGTGCCCCGGGTGATTTTCTTGTGGCTCATTGGCAGGTTGTTATGTTAGCTTCAGACAGTTACGACGCTCCATGGAGGACAGGTTCCCTGTCCTCCTTCGGAGGGCCTCTTCAGTGGTTCCCAGGCTGCTGCAACATCCCGCTGCATGCAGCGGGTCACGCGGCACTTAAAGAGACTTGTAATGCTGCCATTTGAGGCCAATATTTTCAATAAGCCACAAAGTGTAGCAAACTCTCGCACACCCAACACGTCTGTACATCCGAGCAGCAGGCACGATCATAACTAGGCAACTGGCCTTGCTTTCGCTGGTGGTTGAACCCCTGTAACATTAAGATGCAAACCTATGGGCATATCAAACTTTAGGCGAGTATCCTGTATTGTAGGTTGTTGAGAACGTAAACTATGCAGTTGTCAAGCATGCAGTGGTGTGGCGTAGAGCCGGGAATAACTCTTCACCAGCTGTTACCTGACTAGAGGGCAAACGCCAGTTAACAACACTGTGACATGACTGCGGCCCCAGAAGTGCGGTGGCAGCTGGCCGGGGCCTGTGGCGTCCCGTTGCAGTTCATGTGAGCTACAGCTTCCGCTGTACATGTTGCTGCAGCAGGTACTCCAACAGCAGGGCCACTACTTTAACGTTAACGGAGTTGCCCACGAGGGCTGCCCTCTTCCGAAACGGCAGAGAGGAGGGAAAGGCAAAAGATTCAGGAAATCCATGGAGTCGCAGCAATTCCCTAGATGAGAAAAAGCGGATGGTCTCCCCCTCCTGCAGACGACGGAATCGGCTTCGTTCTAAAGTCTGAGGAGTTAGCACTGCAGCTGCTGCTGCGGATGTTGCTGCAGCGGCCGTTTCGGTCGACACTGCTTCTGATGATGCTGTTGCAGTGTTGTCAACTTCGACTGTTGTTGCTTCTGCTGTTGCAGCAGCAGCTGCTGCTACTGTGGCTGCTCCTTTTTCGCGGCCCCTTGGCGGGGACTGGCCTTCAGAAATGAGGAGGAGGGGGCCCCCAGAGTGGAGGTTGCGTCCGTACCCTTTGGTGAAGGTGCCGCATGCAGTATGTGTCGGGCTCACTATTTCCAGCCTGAAGCCATTGCCCCTAGAAGACTGAGCTTTCGTATTGGCTATACGGCTATTTTCCTCCCCTATTGCCCATTCCCCCTGTCTCTCTTCAGCGTCATTCTCTGTATCGCTTGTGTTTGTACGGCATTCTCTTTCTCTTCTGTCCCCATCTCCGTGCCCTGCTCCGCTTTTGTTTTCCTCCAACTCTGTCGCTTTTCGTCCCCTTTCAACTGTCTCCGTTTCTTCATTCACGTCAATAAAGCGCCGCAGGCGACCAGCAGGAATGCGCAGGGCCTGCTGCTCCTCCGGTGTAATATTTACCTCCAAGAAATCCCCAACACACCGCACTTCAAATGGGGGTCCCCCTAGGGCACCCGATGAGATGGGGGGCACCATCTGCAACTCAGGAGCCTCCACGATGCTTTTCTGAGAAGACTCTGGCGCCCCTTGGATGTGAAGCAGCGGCTGCTGCTGCTTCTGATTCCCCTGTTGCTGGTGCAGCTCTGGAAGCAGCAACTGCAGACCTTGCTGCAGGGGTTGGGTTGTGTCTCTGCAGCCCAAACAGTAGTATCGGACTCTTGTGTTTGGAATGCCAATTTGTGTAGGAGAGAGAAGGAAGTGTTGAACTCGGTAGTGTTGGCTACGGAGCACCTGTTGCATGCGTCTCCAGGTGTCTGAGCCCTCAAATCCCCTGACATTTTCTAAGAATATGAACTGAGGCGGAGAGCAGCAGCCGCTAAGCAGTTGCAGCAAGTGCAAGAAGCCCGTTGCCCTTCCGTCTAGGCTGTCCAGTTTCTTGCCCCCCCTTGTGTAAGGTTGGCAAGGAGGCGACAGCAGCCATAGGTCTGCCTGCCCGTCTACATGCTGCAAGGAAAGATGTTCTATAGATAAGCAGATTGGTGAAGTTTTGAAGTTGTGTGTATACACCCCGTTGGCAGTTGTACTGATATCGTAGGCTCCCACAACTTCCGTGGCTATTTCGCAAAGCCCTTTCCTCCTCAGGCTCTCTAGGGCCTCGGTAAGACCCACGCGCAAGCCCCCAATGCCGCTGAAAAACTCGTAGACACGCAGTGGGCCGCCCTCCCAAACTGGGCCTCCGGAGCATGCAGCGTCTCCAACAAGGTCTGAAAACTGCCCGTCAAGGCCTGCGGAGCAGGCCAGGCTGCTGCCGGCTTGCATACAGGGACCAAACAAAGAAGAAGCTACAAGCAAAGTAGGGCTAGGGGTTCAGGACTTCAGGACGAAGGCTACAGCATCAATGGTAAATTGCCAGCCTTCCACACTGTGCTGTATGTGAGGGTTTGGTATAAAACGGCAAACTTGCGGACAAAGCCCTGCCTGGAAATATCTCTTCAGCTCTAGCGCACGCTAGATGTCGCCTCCGTCAGTGGGCACATGTGTAGACGAGCCCAGCTTCGCATTCTGATTGCTACTCGCTTCCATTGCCATAAAACTCTAACTCAGCACAGAAACATTTTATTTGCTTTGTTTTTACCAGAGGCCTCTTCCTTGGGTATCTGAGGGCCCCCGGTAGGGGGGCCCCCCCAATGCCGAAGGCACGGATGAGTTAAAAACCTGCCATTTGCCCATTAAGTAGAGAGTCTATTAGTACAGTAAGGAGGCGTTGAATGTATATGGCTCCCGTTTTATGTTGTGGGGCGCTGTTTTTGTGCAAGATTTGCTGCACTATACGCTCACAAGTAGAGAACGCAGGAAGAGACAGGTCATTTGGGCCGTGGCCACATAACGAAGCATTTAAAGTGGAATATGTAAACGACGTTTCCATGAGGCGTTTCTGCAATAATACTGACAGAATGCCTTATATGAGGGGCCTAGACCCCCGTCATGCGTCACAGAGCAATGTGGCGTGTGTGTGGCACAGGCTGGCAAAAGTTGTTTCACGCAGTTGTACTTGTATAACGGCTCGTTAATGAGTGCCATGTAAGTGTATGACAAGTGCCATCAATGTTAGAGCTTGCAATAGAAGCAAGCTACGTGCTGCAACTCACAACAGGCCACATGCTCTCTGCACCAGCAGAGGCGCTGTTGCAGCTAGGCTCAGAACTTCTGGAGACTTTAGTCAGATGCCTTTAGTATGAGGCTATCCTCTTCTAAGTGAGAGGGTGTTTATTACGGCGGGTAGTATTGCATGGCATCAAGGCCGCCAAATACATAAACGGTTGCTCGTACAGGCACTGTCCCTAAGAAAACAACACTAGTTTCACTCCCGAAAATCTGCCGGAGATGTACCCTTCCGTCAACTCGAGCAGTGGAGGTTGAACAAGACTTGCCTGTGGAGAGGCAAACTAGCTAGCTGGTGGGAGCATCGTTACACTGGACACCTGCGGTGAAGACAACTCATGAATAATGCGTACACCTTGTCTGATCATTAAATATGGGGCAGCTGGACAATTATTTGCAACTGTATGTGTACCTTATTCGGTTTTCACTGTCCTGAAAGGGGCATTCCCAATTTGGCTGGGCCAGGGCCATGATTGGAGAAATGTTGAAAGTATCTTACATGATGGTTTTTGTATGGTTTCCCTGCATGACAGAGGAGAAAGGCTCAGTTATCCCGCGGATGATGGGATGGCAGGAAAGAGCTTTGGAAATGTCCCAGATGTAGGGCATTTAGGACTGATGGCCTGAAGCCAGCCATAAAATTAAGAGTAGTGAAAGCATAGCCCTTGGGAATTCAACGGGGAGGAATTCGGGTGGCTTGCCGAGTTGTGCATCTGCCTTTTTCGCAACTCAGAAGACCACAAAGTCGGTTGTTGAGAGTTAGTTATAGGAACTCTGGAAGAGACGAAACAACATTTTGATCACCACTGTGAGAGTGCCACTAGAGAATCGGCCACAACAGAATGGCTTTCATGCACGCTGCTGGGAGGTTGTAGCGACAAAAGTGACAAGTGAACCGGCAGACCCTCTCCGACTCACCTATGTGCTAATCCAGTGTGTGTAATCGGGTGCTTCTTTTCTGGCTCTTTGACATGAATTCCTACTACTAACCCAGTCCTAGCTCGCTCGGTTTCCGCTTTCGTTATTCTCATTGTTTTCTCCAGAATTTTTTATTTTTCCGTTTGGTTTAAAGGCTGCCTCCTATGTATGCACTACACCGCAGAAAAGTGATGTGATATACCTTGATAGGCGTCAACCTCAATTGCTATCTCGGAACCATCTAGCAATATCCAATCCCGCACCCTCGCAGCCCGTACACGGACGTGGAAAACCAAAGTGGTAAGAAGAAACGCCATCTGTGCGCCCCACGCATACTGGCTCAGAATGTTTGTGCCTCCCTGATTGGTTGCTGAAGATTGGGCTCGAACCAACCCCACATGTCACCTGTCCCACAGCGAGTGTATCAATTCCAAGTACTTTAGTGCATTTATGCCCATCCTGGTATAATATTTGGTTGTACGCACAAGCCTAAAGCATCTACACAGAACAAAGTTTCATTACTCGTATAATTTCGGGGGTCCAGGTAAAGGTGTAGAACCTCTGCAATGTGAACAGAAACCTAGCATTGTTCGCTATAGGGTATACGAGGCCCTTTAGGAAGCTACTTGCCAGTTGGTGAGCTATACGTAAGGATGTTAGTTTGGGTCGGCCGCGTGAGCGCATGCATTAGCAATGCATGCAGCCAACGAGCACCCTGGGGCTTCTGGGGCTCTCCGGAAATACTATATTTGCCAATCACATTTATTGTATTATGCCAGAGATTTTGTTTTATTCCTTTCTCGGTCTTTTCCGATCACCTTTTAAGGAACCGAAGCCAACAGAGCCCGCATCTATCCACAACTCCGCCAGTAAGTTGCTATCACTGCAGGCCAGTGGTTCGGGGAAAAGGCTTTGAACCAACTCACTTGTTTGCAATAAAAGCTTCAAATGGTAGACAATTCTTCTGCGTCTCCAGGATCCGGTAGTCCCTAAGAGTAGAGTCTATTTTAGAACATACACTCCGGTCGAAAATGTCCGCAAAGCAACCTCCAGCAGCAGAGAAGCCGGGCGCAGGTACGTCTGCCCTCTTCCAGTTCACTGCTGTTTGCGGTAAGAACAACTAGGCAATCCGGGCACCCTTAAGAAGGGAACATTCGGAGGCATTTTGCCAAGCTTTGCATTCCAGCAGACGCATATTTAATTGAGGCCCTATGCCACAAGAGTAGCGCATTAGGCGGTAGTAGGCACACGAACAGCACAAACAGCATTTCAGATCCAGATGCCCACTGTGCATTTGGCCCACTGCCAGAGGGAGATGCGGCCGAAGCGGAAGAGCTTCAAGCACTTGAGCAAATGCACTCCAAAGCACAAGAAGAAGTGGAGAATCTTCGAGCATTGCTTGACAAAACAAGGCATGGCAGGATTAAACTGGAGCTAGAAACAGTCAGTTAATGACATTGGCGTGCATTGCGAAACCATCAAGTTTTAAGATGCGTCGAAAGCGACGCAGGTTCTCCGACTTGGTATTCCGAAGCTCCAAGAAAGTGTGAAATGGGTTCCACGTAGGCGATGCTTTCGAGAATTCGAGAGGCGACGCAGAAATGCACTGACAAGATAGAACTGATTCTTAAGAAAGATGACGGGGATGCATCAGTAGAGGAAGCTGCACACGTAGAGGAGCTAGCCGCATACGATAATCGCCAGCACGTTCTCGAAGTACAAGGGACTTTAGAGGAGGAAGCCCAAATTACTTCAACTGAGCAACTGTTAGCTGAAGCTGACAAGTACTTTCAACAAACCCTGGCCTCAACGCAGGCAAGGAGCAAGGAGTTTAAGGCCATGGCTCTTAAAGAAGCTGAGGAGACGCAGGAAGAAGTGGAAGCTCTCAAAAAGACCTTAGAGCAAGTGCGACACGCCTGATAGTGTATGTGCAGCAACACCAATAAAAATGCTGTAAACGCCAATATTGTGGGGACCGCGATGGGCTTGGAGCACTCGTTCGAGGGTTAGCACAGGGGTATGCACAGCGTGCACTGGTCTCCTGCTAAGCCTCCATCTGTAGACAAACCTGCTGTTTCTTGGTTTGCCCAGCACCTAACAAAAATTGCGGAGACATTTGAAAAGAGCACAGAAGACCTGCGACAGCAATGCGAGAGGGAACTAAAGGCACGCCACGAGGAGTACTAGAACGACAAACAGCAACTGGGGCCGGCAGTTCGTTGCAGTCACTGCATGTATTGGGAGGGTCGGAAACAAAAGAAAGCAGCCCTTCTTGAACCCTAAGAGCCCGGCACCACCTTCTTCATGGAATTACGATCGTGTGCAGTTGGGCAGATCCAGTATTTAGAATCCAGCGTTCGGCTCGCACGCTGCGCCTCTTGGTGTAATCAGGAACTGGAGGAATCCCTAGAGTTACACGAAAGTGTGGCCATGCTGGAGGTGGAGGAGCAGAAAAACGCCCACAAAAATAAACTTAAGGCATTCAATGAAGAAGCGCTGGGCAAGTTGAAGGGTAGGCGCTTTTCCTTAACAGAGCTTGCTTGTAATCGGTTGACTCTTACATTTCATTATGGGAAGATAACTCTGCATGCTGTGCGAATGTCTGCAATGGCAGCGTACTATGAGGATATTACACGAGATAATTTGCAGCTTGTCAAGAAGCTGCGAGCCGAGAACGAGAGGATGTCGGCTAATAACAAGAGGCTCAAAAAAGAAATCGACTTAATGTCCGCCCAAAATGCAAAGATTCGGGAACCTCTCCGTGAGCAAGAAGCTCTCAAGTAAGCCGGCGGCTCTACTTCATCAACCTCCTCTATAATGGACTGCAAGCTGCGCAAATATCTGTGACTAGAATATAGCTTCAAGCTAACTTCCGCCTGTTCACGAAACTCAAAGCTTCTCTATTTTGCGTTCATCATCTGTGCTTGCCCACGGAACTTGCCACGGACCTGAGCATTACAGGTTAATTCATGCCTATGCGTTGTTAACAAAGAGAAATCTTGGCATTACTAGCTATTCTACTTGGTGATGCTTCATTTACAATTTTGGGTAATTCATGGTATTACAAGTTTGGGTAATTCATGACTTCAGGGCCCGGCTTAAAGTGCAACTCCGTTTTGTAGAAAAGGACAAACTAGTCCTTCGCAACCTCAAAAGGCGAAACCAAGTGGTATCATTGCATTGGAACACCGTTGCCCGCACATAAATGCAGGAAAGACCATTAGGATCGTTTGGGACTTGTGGCATTGTACGCCAATGCGCACTCCTCAGTTTCCAGCTGTATGGGCAGAATACCTTTTTGTGCGTATAGATGGAAGAAAACATAAAAAATGCGCGCTTGGAAGTTCGGAATTTAGAACACCAAAAGAAAGCAATCGGCCGCTGCATTGGTCAACTGCAACAAAGTTTGAAAAACGTGCATCAAGAAAATACTGGAGGCTCTGCAGCGCACGGAGCATTGCTGAGGATACAAGCAACGGAGACGCTTGCAAAGCTAGAATCAAGCTTTCAGCAAATACAGTCTGCGCAGTCTCATTCCAACTTACCTTCTGGAGTGTCGTCAGCAATTTGTGAGCTGATCCAGGAGACAATAATTGATCATGAGCAATGTGAGAATGCTTTAAAGGAAGAGCTACGCCGATGCATTGAGGCCTATAATGACATGTTAGTGTTTATGCGGCATCGGCTAGACGAGCTCAATGTGCCTCATTCTTCTATCGAAGCAAGGAGTATTGTGTATGAACACGCACAAGCTATGCTAGATAATAAGACTGAATCAATCTCTGCCTCTGAAACAACAGCTGAAGACAATGGCAGAATGCTCAACCAGGAATCTAGTCAGGCTTCAGAGGAATCGAAGGGGAGGGCGGACGATTTGGCCGTCACAGGCACTTCGACAGGCGCATCTTCCGAACATGAAACTGTACCCTTGAAAAGCTCTAGTCACCCATCTGGGTGGGCAATTACCTATCCGTGTGCGAAAGGATCGGAAAATATCCACCTAGGGAAAGTGACGCTCAAGAGACTGACGGACAGCTAATTCAACATCTGTTGGCATTCCCACTAGCGCGAAGCATTGCAGTTTCTAGAAGAATTCCTTCACATAATCATCTACGTCAACTTTTCGCAGTGCTTATTTTCCAAACTTCGCTTTAGATTTCCTTCCCTGATTTCGCAGAACAACCCGATGTTGGTGTTGGCATTTGTGCAGCGTATTGCCCTAGCAACCTAGCTGCACTCCCGAGTTAACAATTCGTGCAAGGTAGTTCACTAGTGAGCCTAGGCACCCAAGGAAAGCACAGTTTTTCCCTGGTGCCTCACAGAGATTGAGCTTAGGAATATCTAACAGCGCGTGAAAAAAATTTCTCATGGAAATATGTAAAACAAACGTAGTATTTAATGTAATACTGGAAAAACTGTGACATGTGAGCGATACATGAGAATGACCAAGTAGTAGCGACTGAGATCCTCCATACACGTGTAAAGAAGCCCAGAAATCGGGAATATTACATCGGATGAGCGGGAAATCAACAACCTAACTGTGCTTCTAAAGATATCTTGAGCGAAGTAGTTTCTCGGGAACATCTACATCCACGTCTCGATTCAGCTGTGGAGACTAAGCGCATAAGCTTGGAAGTTACCCAATATGCTTGCAAATATCCTCGTACCTTTTTAACGTGGACGCGGGTGCGTAATTATTTTCCAACTGTGACTGACGACTTTTCATAGAGCTAACTCGGCTACGCCGCCGATGACCCATCAATTCTTCCAAACTGAAAGTACTGTGACGTTGTTAGCAACAACAGCAACAACAGCACCAATGGCGACCGAACAACACCGGAAGATGCCCGAAGCAAGTGGCGCATAGGTAATGGATACAGAAGAGAGGATCGAGGAAGGAACAGAAACAACACTTCACTCACCGTTAGGAAGCGCAGTAGCAGGTGAACATATCAGCACGGTCTGATACACGCCTTCCAACTCATGCAAGTTGGCTACTGCTGATCATGTAGGTATTTTCCAATTCCCTGTAGTGTTACTACATGCATTAAATGGTAGCTTGCGCTGTACATGCACGTCGTGATGCGCTGCACAAAGAGATGCACCAATATGCTCCCCAGCCTTCAGAAACATTGAACCTGTCCCCTCCAGCCACACGTCCACGTGACTCTGTGTATGCTGCCTTTGGGTCGTCGTGATTTTTGTCTCTTTCTCCGCCCCGTTACTACGACCTTCCTCTCTGCACTGTTTATACTCTACTCAACTCTGCAGGTAACTCACTGGCATTATATTTGAGTACAACATACTCATACATTCATATACAAAATATATATCATTTAATTGTGACTATTTAGACGGTCTCGTAGGCAGCTGATCAACACTGCTACTACTACTATTACTTCTGGGGTTGAGTGTAGGCATCCTAGCGCTGGTGTCTCGCTATTTGAGTCCCATTCTTGTGTTTTAATCCGTTTAACCAATTGACTTAGTTTACTTTTTTAACTGTTCATTTTAACTTTTATTACTTGTAAGGTATATGGCGCCTTCGTGTGGCGCGCGCGGCACTGCAGCCCCGTGCTTGGTAGCATGCATACAGCATACAGTTAGTTTGCATCATAACTACACTCTGCATGCAAATAAAACAACTAAGAAGTATTTCTTGCTTGCGCTTCCCTTCTAGACTCACCTATTCTTTATATCCTTCCATCTCCTTATTGAGCAGCCACCTGCCTGCTGCAGCAGCAGCAGCCGCTGCAGCTACCGCGCCATGCTGTTGCTGTTACGGAGGCTATCCTCCGGGACCCCCCCCCTGGGATCGGGATCGATCCCAGGGGCCCCCATGGGGGGATTGAGGGTACTTGGATCTCTCGGGGCCCCTAGTAGGCCCTTTGGTAGCTACCAGGGGCAGAAGGTTACTTCTGAGCAGCTCTTGAAGAAGAACGACGAATGGCTTATTGAGGAAACCAACTTCTGTCTTGGGCGCGTTGTTGTGAGAACAGCTGCTTTTGTGCTCGATCTGCTGCTACTGCTGCTACTGCTGCTGCTGCTACTGCTGCTGCTTAATCTGCTGGTGGTGATGTGGTGTGCTGCTGCTGCAGCTGCATCTGCTGGCTAGGCTGTTGCTCGCTGCTTCTGTCGTATGTGATGCTGCTGGAGACTGCCGCCGCGTGGTGTGGTGTTGGATGTCGGATTGCTGCTACTGCGGGTTGCTGCAGCGGTCTTTGTTGCTACTGCTGTTGTTGTTGTTGTTGCTCTTGCATGCGCCATTATGTGCGATGCGTGGTTGCTGCAGCAGCAGTTGCGTCTGCTGCAGCTGCATCAGTCTATGTTGTAGCTGCAATTGCTGCTGTATTGGTTGCAGCTGCAGCTGCTGCAGCATTACCTGTAGAGTGTGCTGTTATTCCTATTACTCCTGCTGAATCCCTCCTGCTACTCCTCCTCCTGCTACACCTGCTGCACCTGCTACTGTTGTTGTTGTTGCTGCTGTTGTTGCTGCTGCAGCCAATTCGTTTTAAGGAAACGGACGACTTCGCTCACCGCGTATTACATTTAATGGATGCACAGTTAGGCCGCATGCATACACGACTAAGAGATGGGACTTGTATCCCTGTTATGGGGCTTTATATTCCATGCATAACAGATAAACCTACTCCACTACATCAATGTCTTGTCAGTCATGCTGCTGCTGCTGCTGCTGCTGCTGCTGCTGTTGCTGTTGCTGTTGCTGTTGCTGCTGATGCTGGTGGGGGTGATGGTGATGGTGTTGCTGCTGCTGATGGTGATGCAGGAGACGCCACTCCTTAAGTACACCTGGGACGAGACATACACAGAGGCTTATGAGGACTAAATCCAGCTAGCTAGCTAGCTAGCTAAACAGCTAGCTAATAACCAGGCTAGCTAGTTGGCCAACTAGCTGCACACGCTACTAAGGTGTCTTGTGAACCCCGTTGGGCTTCTTCGCGGGCAGCAGGGAAGGGAATGAGATAGCTAGCCAGGTTCCTTTCTTGCTAGGTAGCTAGCCAGCTCAACCCCATCTTTGCTAGCTAGCTAGCTGGCGCGGCACTTGGCCAAGCCCGCATCTCTTTAAGGCAGCGCTGGTGCCCACATATTACTTTGTGAGCTGCACTTGTTCTTATCTGCTGCAGCAGCAGCAGCAGCTGCTGCTGTTCCGTTACATAGCAAGGGAATAGCATCGGAACCAGGTAGCTGGCTAGCTGCTGTTGCAGAGGTGCATAGTGGGCAGGGGGGGGCCATTCGTTACGGCCGCTCCACATATACAGCGCAGCTGCTGCAGCTACAGCAGCTGCAGCAGCAACAGCTGCTGCTGAATACTTTGTTTGTTATTGCAAGTTCCGAGCCTCTTGTCTGGCTAGCAGAAGCACAACGGTAGCTAGCTGTTCCTCCTCCTGGAGTGTAGCTGTTGCCTGCTGGCTAGTTGGCCCAATGGACAGTTATCATTAGGTCAATAGGGTACGCAGCGGGTAGTTAGGATGTAGTCAGTGGCTAGTTAGCTGGCAGGCTAGCATAATACTACATAGCTGGCTAGCTACCTAACTGGCTAACTAGACAGTTACTAGCTAGAGGGAGGCACTCCTCTGCAGCTCTACAAGTTACTATCAAATGTTACGGGCAACTGGTTGGCAGGTTCCTAGCTAGCTAGTAAGCTAGTTAGCTAGATAGTCTACTGGCTAGCTAGCTAACTGGCTAGCTAGCTGGCAAGCTGAGGAGTCCCTCACTGGTTGCGAAGGCGCCTCAGCATCGCTTGGGCTTGTGCCAACGGCGTTGGCTGCATGGGCGGCAGTTGCTGCTGCCGCCGCTGCTGCTGCAGCCTCTGCTCTTGCTGCAGCAGCAGGTGTTGCTGCTGCTGCAGGTGAGTTGCAGCTTCTGTCTCTAAGTCACTTGGCTCTGTAGGTGCGTCACTCCATGCTTCCTCCGTAGGTGCATCCGTCCCTGGATCTGCAGCAGCAGCTGTTCTTCCTGCTGCCTCTGGTGTATTGGGGGCGTCTTCTTCTGTTTCGGAGCCACTAACAAAGCTGTTGTTGCTGCTGCTGCGCGACACGGGGTCTCTGCTGCTGGCGTAGCTGATCGGAGCTGCCTCACGCTGCTGCAGCTTCTGCTGCTGCTGCTGCTGGCCGAGGTATCTGATACTGGTGCCACCGATGCTGCTGTAGCCTCGGTTTGCTGCAGTTGCTGCAGTTCCTGCTGCTACGCTTCTGCTGCGAGAACTAGATGATGTTGCCGTCTGCTCTGCAGTATCTCCATACCTCGGTGGGGTGGGCCAAGCTGGCCTGCTGGTGCTGGTGCTGCTGCCCCGCAGACCGGACGCAGGTGCATGCGGAGCTGCAGCAGCACCTGTTGTTGTTGCTGCTGCTGGAGCAGCTGAGCTTCGCTGCAACATTGGGGGACCTACGGTACCTAAGGTCCTCGGAGCTCGAGGAAAGCGGTGCTGCAGCAGCTCATGCTGCTGCTGCTGCTGTTCGTGTTGCAGCTGGGGTTGCTCTTGCTGCAACTTCTGCTGCCTTATCTGTAGAAGCTGCTGCATAGCAGAAGCGGCACTAGCCTGTGGCGTTTGCTGCTGCTGTTGCTGCTGCTGCCGGGATTGCTGCTGCTGCTGCTGCTGCAACGAGGAGAGCAGCCCTGGGCTACCAACGATCCTTTCTGTCCGTGGAGTTGTCAACGACAGTGGCGCTCCTGCTGCTGCCGCAGCTGCTGTTGCTGCTGCTGCTGTTTGTACTGCTGCGGATGTCTGCACATTGCGGGGGCTGACGCTCCTGATGCCAGCAGCGGCTCTCAGACGCGTGACATTTTCCTCAACAGGTGCAGCAGGAACAGCAGCAGCAGCACCAGGTGCAGCAGCAGCAGCAGCAGCAGAGAGGGTTTTATGGAGTTCATTCCTTGGTGTTGCTGTTAGTGGTGAGGATACACCTAAAGGCACTTGCCTCTCTCCTGCTAAGCCAAGCTCAAGTCGCTGCAGCAGCAGAGCAGCAGCAGATCCTGTTGATCCCTGCACTAAACGGGAGAGACGAGCTGCATGCAGGAACGCACACAAACAACAAACTACCATCAAAAAGAATTCTGCTGCTGCAGCAGCTGCTGATGCTGCAGTTGCTTCTGCTGCTGTCGTTAGCGGTGGTGTGGTCGTGCGATTCCTCTTGATACAATTGTTCCTACTGCTCTTTCTCTTGTTTCTGCTCAGCTGCTGCAGCTGAGCAGCAACAGCAGCAGCAGCAACAGCAATGCTGACTCACCAACGAACTCTCTTTGGCTGGATACAAATGCTGCATGCGCTGTCTTGAGCATCGAGCCAAAGCCCGCAGCCTCAACAGCACAACGAAAGCTTTGTAGTCTGCTTTCTCTGCGTCTTTGCTGCTGCAGGCGCTGCTGCTGCTGCTGTGCTGCTGCTTCGGCTTCAGCACTTTCTGCTGTATCCTGAGCTCCAGCAGCAGCAGCAGCTGCTGCAGCAGCCGCCGCCGCTGCTGCCTCTGCTGCTGCAGTTGCGTCTTCGTCCCCCAACAGCACACTCGCGTCTGTAGCAGGACCGCCCTCTGCTGCAGCAGCAGCAGCAGCAATAAGCTGCGGCCGCCTGGCCAAGGAGGAGAATTTGAGTGTATGTACAGCAAATGTTAATACAACAGCAAGAGTTTTATTTAGACTTTGTAATGTTGTTGGACTATCGAGGAAGCAGCTGCTGCTGATGCTGCGCATACACTCCAAGTGCTGCTGCTGCAGCAACTCCGCACTAGGAGTACCGCGGGAGCAAAATGATAACAAACGACCAAACTCAACATCCACCACCTAAAGCAGCAACAGCAGCAAATGCAGCAGCAGCACATGCAACATAAGCAGCAGCACATACAAGATAAGCAGCAGCAATATCATCTACCAAGTAGGTCGTCTGCTGCAGCATCCATGACAGTACTGCAGCAGCAGCAGCATAAATGAGTGGATATATCTGTGTATACACCTCATTTAATTGTATTTAATAATAAATAATTATTATATTTAACAATAAATAATAAGAATAAATAATAATAATAAAAAAAAGAAGAATTACCTCATTAGATATATAAGAAAGGAGACAGGAGACAAAATAGGCCATTTGTCCTCTTGTCTTTAGTGCAGCACGGAAGTGGGAACCAGACTCCCGGAAACCAAATAGGTCCTACACAACAGCAACACACACATGCAGCAGCAGCAGCAGCAGCAGCAACACATGCAACAGCAGCAGCAGTAAATGGAGCAGCAAATGGAGGATTAGTACCAAGTGCAGCAGCAGAAGTAGATGTGGCAATAGCAGCAAAAGAAGCACCAGCTAGCAGAATAATGGGAGGTACCGAGACATACGGCACAACAGCACACCACCACCACCACCATCACCATCACCACCATCACCACCATCATCACCACCATCACCAGCAGCAGCAGCAGCAGCAGCAGCAGCAGCAGCAGCAGCAGTATAGTACCTTAGTTTTATTTAGATCTCTCCATACAAGTGTTAATTGTCGAAGTGCAAATTGAATTTGAAAAAATTGTCGAAATAAAATTTGATAAATCGAAATTGTCTCTCTTGAAAATAATAGACGAAGAGGACCACGACAATTTAGACTTAGACACAGGCGACGGTATATATCTGCAGCAGCAGCAGCAGCAGCAGCAGCAGCAGCAGAAGCAGAAGCAGAAGCAGAAGCAGCACCAGTAGTAGCAGGAAGTAATGCAGCAGCAGTAGATGGAGGAATGGATGTGCGAGGGGGGAGGCTGTAGTCGTATAGATTGGGGGGGAATAGCAACAATGGCAACAATTGGGGGTATTGCTATAGTAATAAATTAGCGTAAACCCTAAACCCTAAACCCTAACCTGTTGGGCCGAAGTCTATGGAGAGCTGCTGCAGTTGCTGCTGGGATACTCTAGGAGATGCAATTAGCTGCGCATACAGCTCAGGTTTTGTTGCTGCTCGGTGCAGCAGCTGTGCTGCCTCTGATAGACTCGCTATCGGGTGTAAGGATAGCGAGAGGTCGTCACATAGCCTGGGCAGCAGCAGCACATGCAGCACCAACAACAAATGCAACAGCAGCAACAACAGCCACAGATGCATGAGGAAGCAACAGGAGAACCAGCAGCAACAGCAGCAGCAGGAGCAACGGACCATTCGTATTCAGTGACGCTCCGTATTGCTGCATCCATCCGTGCCTCTAAGACATGCATTTGCTGCAGGAGGTATTGTTGCTGTTGCTGCTGTTGTGCTTCGACGCTTCTTCCAGCTGCAGCAGCAGCAGCAGCAGCACGTTGCTGCTGCAGCGGATCTGTCGTGGGATCGCACGACTCCAAGAAAGCAGCAAAGACGTCTCCTCTCCCTCCTAGGCAGAGGGCCTTAAGGCCCTTAAGGAATCCAAGGAATCCCTGTGCTGCAGGGTGGTCTGCTGCTGCTGCTGCTGCTGCAGCTGCTGCTGGGTGCCCCAAGACAAGCGGAGATGCCAACATTGCATGCACTGCAGCAGATGCTGCTTCTGCTGCTGCAGGCAGTGCAGCAGATGTCAACTCCTGCTGCAGCAGCAACAACGAGTTGCTACTCTCTCCTCGCATCGAAGCAAAGTATCGGCTCATGTCAGGCCAAGGCTGAAGCAGCAGCAGCAGCAACAGCAGCAAACACAGCAGGAACCCATGAGCAGCAATCTTGACAGTGTACACGAAGTTAGGTGCTAAACCCCCTGTTGTACCCTGCAGCAGCAGCAGCAGCAGGAACAGTAGCAACAGCAGCAGCAGCAAGCAGCTATGCATAAACCTTACCTGCTTGCAGTCACGCAGCAACCTGATGCAGCGGCCTATCTGCAGCAGCTGCTGCGCAACAGGCCGCAGCAGCAGAGGCAGAGATGCTTCTTCTATAACAAACCTCTCTTGCCACTCCCATGGCCAACGAGCTAAACCACCTGCAGCAGCAGCAGCAGCAGCAGCAGCAGCGGATGTAGTAATAGTAATCGGCTGCCAAAGCAAGCCCGCGTTGCAGCAACAAATGCTGCAGCAACAAATGCTGCAGCAACAACCTGCAGCAGCAGCAGCAGCAACCTGCAGCAGCAGAAGGAGCAGCAGGGAGTGTTCTTACTGCAGTCGTCCGCAAATTCTCCCGCGAGGGGATCTCGAGTTTGCTCCGTCCTATCGCTGCACATTAAACCCTAAACCCTAAACCCTAAACCCTAAACCCTAAACCCTAAACCCTAAACCCTAAATCGTATACTTGAAGGGTCTGCAAGCGATTAAAAAGGGTTGCATTGTGCTGCTGTTGTTGTTGTGGTTGCTGCTGCTGCTGCTCGTCGTCTATCCTGGGTACTGTTCCTAGGGTTTAGGGTTTAGGGTTTAGGGTTTACCGTATAAAGAATTCTTTATAGGGGTCATGCAGTTCTCCCTGCAGCAACCATTTGCGTAAGAAATGGAGGAGAGGGTTTGTTGCTTCCTGCTGCAGCAGCAGCAGCAGCTGCCTTGCTGAGTCCCCTGTAGGTAGTCTTGCTGCTGCTGCATCAATAGCATTAAGAAGGACACCTCCTCTTAATCCCCAACAGCAGCGAACAGCTTCTGCAGCAGCAGCAGCAAGTGCTGCAGCAGGAGCAGCAGCAGCACGTAAACCCTGCAAAGATAGCTGACCTTGTCTTGCTGCTGCTTCCCAGCAGCAAACCCTAAACCCTAATTCATTAATAAACCCTCCTGCTGCAGCAAAGAATGCTGCCCCTACAGACCCCATCTCCTCTATGCGGCTTCCTGCTGCTTGCTGCGCATGCAGCAGCAAACGGATATCTGCTGCTGCTGCTGCTAGCTGCTGTAACAAACCCTGCAGCCCACCACCACACGCGCTGCTGCCGTCTTGCTGCTGCTGCTGCAGCAGCAGCGGATGCAGCCACACAGAAAAAGTTGGCAAAGGAGGAAGCATGCATCTGCTGCTGTCTATATCATAAGGATGCCTTTCTAATAGCTGCAGCTGCTGCTGCTGCAGTTGTTGTTGCTGCTGCTGTTGCTGTTGCTGCTGCTGTTGCTGTTTTGGATGGAGATCTCCCTCTTGCGCTTGCTGCAGCAGCCAATCTTGCTGCTGCTGCTGCATTGCAGCAAGCTGCTGCTCCTCCTCTTCCTTATGAGGCTCTCTTACTACCCGCAGCAGCACACCATCAACACCCAGCAGCAGCGACAGCAGCTCCTCTAGCAGCAGCCGCTCTCTTGCTGCATGGGGCAGCAGCGGCCAATCTGCTGCTAGCTGCTGCTGCCCCCAGTTAACTGCTGCAGCAAACGCTGCATCCCTGTTGCTGCTATTGTCTTGTTGCTGCAGCAGCTCCTGCTGCTCCTCCATAGGCAGAGGAGGGGCAGGAGGTACAGCATCAGCAGCAGCAGCAAGACCGTGCTGCTGCAGCAGCGCAGCAATGCTGTTGTTACCCCACACTTCTGCTGCTGCAGCAGCAGCATCCCACATACTAGGCGACAGCAGCGCAGCAGGAAATCTGCATAAAGGAAGGCTGCTGCTCCTTAGTCCTGCTTTCTCTATATGCCATCCGCAGTGTACGTACACCCCAGCAGTAGCAGCAGCAGCAGGTGCTGCTGCTGCTGGTGCAGTTTGCTGCTCTGGAGGAGATTCAAAGGAAAGAGAGGGGACAAGACATATGCGGCGCTGCTGCTGCTGCTGCTGCATTGGCAGCAGCTGCTGCTGCTGCGGCCGCAGCAGCAGCTGCAGCGACAAGAACTCGGATGTCTTCTGATTAAGCAGCACTAATTCTTCCCCGTGCTGCAGCAGCACATCTGCTGTTGGCTGCTGCTGCTGCTCTTGCTGCTGCTGCTGCTGTTGCTGTAGCCGCGGCGGCAGCAAATGGGGAGGCAGCAACGAGGGACGCAGCAGCTTCCACCTCAGACGGGAATCTGCTGCTGCTGCTGCTGCTATTGCTGCTGCTGCTGCTGCTGATCCTGCTGCAGCAGGGCATATCTGTTTTGCTATGACGGGTGTCCCTGGGCCCCAATCCTGTTTTGCATGCGTTCTGCTGTTACCATTTGCTGTTGCTGCTGCTGCTGTTGCTGCAGCAGCAGCAGAATATACAATCTTAGGAGCAGCAGCACGAGCACTCCCTGCCCCCAACAGCCACAGCGTTGCTGCAGCATTTCCCTTGGGGGGCCCCACGAAGGCTAGCAGCACTTCTGTACCATGGCTGCAGCAGCAATTCGTGCTGCTGCTGCTGCTGCTGCTGCTGCTGCTGCTGATCTTCTTATGGTATGCAGGGTAAGTAGACAGCAGCAGCAATCTGCTGCTCGGGCTGTTCTTAAAGGGAGGATTAGGGGATACAATGCAGGGAACTTCTGCTGCTGCTGCTGCTGCTGCATTTGCTGCTGCTGCTGTTGCTGTTGCTGGTCGCGGTGTATAGCTGCCAAAACGACCCGCTGTTGCTGCTGGTGGTGCTGCTGCTGCTGTTGCTGCTCCTGCTGCTGCTGCATACGTGTCATCTACTGTTAAGTATTGATGTCCTCCTCTCTGCCCTGAGGATAAACCAACAGAGCAATGCAACTCTATAGGGGAAGCAAGAGGTTGCCGCGGCATTGCTGCTGCTGTTGCTGCTGCTGCTGTTGGTTATGGCGCTGCTGCTGCTCCTTTAGCTGCTGCAGTCGCCGCAGCTGCTAGCAAGGCCGCTGCAGAGGTTCCTGTTAGTGTTACCCCTGTGGCTGCTCATGCATCTGCTGCTGCTGCTGTTTCTGTTGCTGTTGCTGCTGCTGCTGCTGTTGCTGCTGCTGCTGCCACATTGCTGAGGATGCCTCAGGGCCCCCTGGGGTGTACCGACAGCAGCAGAGCAACAGAGTTGCAGCAAGCTCTCCTCTCCACAGGAATAATAAAAAGAAGAATAAATAAATAAATAAATAAGATAAATAAATAAATAGATAAACTAGATAAAATAAGTAATAATAATATGTAGCAGAAAGTTTTCTGCCGGCAGCAGCAGCAGCAGCAAAGGTGGTTATAAGGGTGGGGTTGTTGCATGCAAAGAGAAACACATTTAGTAATTCCTTTTATATATTAAATTATTTATTTATTTATTTATTTATTTATTATTTATTAAGAAATATTCTACGCTGCTGCTGTTGCTGCTGCTACTGCTGCACCTGCTGCTGCTGTGGCGGTTGTTGCTATTGCTATTTCTATGGTTGTGTTACTGCTGCAGTTGCTGCTGTTGCTGCAGTTGCTGCTGTTGCTGCTGTTGCTAATGTGGTATTCTGTGTGCTGGTAAATCTGCTGCTGTTGCTGGTGCTGCTGCTGCTGCTGGCGCTGCTGACTGTGCTGCTGCTCTTAGTGGTGCTCCTACTGTAGCTGTTGCTGCTGTTGCTCTGCTGCTCTTACTGTTTTTGCTACTGCAGCTGTTTCTCTTGCTGCTGCTATTATTACCTAGTTAATATTATTAATTAATTAATTAATTAATTAATATTATTAATTAATTAATATTATTAATTAATATATTTAACTAATAAAGACATAATTTCCCTGCATGCATCGCTTTATAGCCTTATAGCATGTACACCTCAATTGAGTGCAGCAGCAGGAGCAGCAGCAGCAGCAGAAGCAGCAGCAGCAGCAGCAGCAGCAGCAGAAGCAGCAGCAGGAGCAGCAGCAGCAGAAGCAGCAGCAGGAGCAGCAGCAGGAGCAGGAGGAGCAGCAGCAGCGTGTGGGGTGTATAGATGCCGAAACGACCGACTGCTGCTGCTATTGTTGCTGATGTTTCTTCTGCTGCTACTGTTGTTGTTGCTGCTGCTGCACTAGTGTCTCCTGTTTATGTATAGTCAATTAATTAACTAATTTAATTAATTAATTAATTATTAATTAATTAATTAATTAATTAATTTATTTATTTATTTATTTATTTATTTATTTATTTTAATTAACTAAAACAATTTTATATTTATTAATACCGTTGTTAGCTGCGCATGCAGCCCCAAAATAAATTAAACAAAGAAAACCCTACTGCATCAGCAGCAGCAGCAGCAACTGCAGCAGCAGTTGCTGCTGTTGCTGATAACGGTAGCACCTGCAGCAGAGGCACAGTCCTGCTGCTGCTGCTGCTGCTCTTGCTGCTGCTCTTGCTGCTGCACACCAACCTGCAGTAGTTGCTGTTGCAACTCTTCAAGTTTTGCTTCTGTTACGATCTTGCAGCAGCAGCAGCAACTGCTGCTGCTGCTGCTGCTGCTGTTGCTGCTGCTGCTGCTGCTGTTGCTGCTGCTGCTGCTGCAGCAGCAGCAGCTATTCCGACTCAAATAATTCTTTGTGTTTTTTCTTTTTGTGTTTTTTGTGTTTTTTCTTCTTCTTCTTAGATACATCAGACATATCTGTATCCTCTTCTTCCCCTTCTGCTGCTGCTGCTGCTGCTGCTGTTGCTGCTGCTGCTGCATCTGCTGCTGCTGCTGCTTCGTCTTCATCAGAAGCAAAGGCGTTGTCTTCTTCATCATCAGCAGCACGAGGGCGCTTCGTACGAGTTACTTCTGCTGCATCTGCTGCTGCATCTGCATCTGCTGCTGCTGCTGCTGCTGAATCTTCATCATCATCTGCTGCTGCAGCAGCAACAGCAGCACCAGCAGCAGCATCTGCATCACTAAATCCTTCATCATCTGCTGCTGCTGTACGTTGTAGCCTGCGGGCTTTCTTTGATTTGCTGCTGGGTGTATCCTCATCTTGCTGCTGCTGCTGCTGCTGCTGCTCGTCTTCCTCCTCATCATCTGCTGCTGCATCTGTTGCTGCAGCAGACTCCTCATCCTCTCCTCCCTCTCCTCCTCCCTCTCCTCCTTCTTCTCCTTCTTCTTCTTCTTCTTCCTCTTCTTCTTCTTCCTCCTCCTCCTCCTCATGTCTTTCTTTATTTTTATCTTTCTTTTTATTTTTCTTTTTCTTTTTTTCTTTTTTCTTTTTCTTTTTGCTGCTGCTGCTGCTGCTGCTCTTCCTTTTGCTGCGGTGTCTAGACACCTCATCATCATGATCACTAATTGCTCCCTCTATAGAATCATCAATAAAATTATCTGCTTCTTTTTGTTTACTGTTGCGCTTATGCTGCTGCTGCTGTCGTCGCTGCTGCTGCTGCTGCTGCTGCTCGGGTCTTAGATTCTCTGGTGCAGCACGAAGGGGGAGGGAAGCAGCAATTGCTTTTGCTTCCTCTGCTAATTGTTCCTCTACCTTTCTTTCTTGTTGCAGCATAAGTTCTTCTTGCATGCGTTTTTGTTCCTGTTGTTGCTGCAGTAATAATTGCTGCTGCTGCTGCCGCTGCTGCTGCTGCTCCCGCTGCTGCTGCACCCAACGTAACTCTAATATAGGCAGCATCCTGTTTATATGATGTAGTACTCTCTCCCTTGATTGCTGCTGTGTATTTATATGTCCATGAGCAGCAGGTATATCCTCTAGACCATCAGGAGGAATAACAACAACTCCTGCTGCTGCTGCTGCTGCTGCTGCTGCTGCTGCTGCTGATCCTGCTGATCCTGATGGTTGCGGTGGTGGTGGGGATTCTTTAGACATCCATACACTAGGAGGAAGCACACGACCGTCGCTGCTCCAACAGAAAGGGAATCCTGCTGCTGCTGCTGCAGCAGCAGCAGCAGCAACTAACGACTTAGGTCCTTCCTCGCTAGCCAATATAGATAAAGGACGGAACTCTGCAATAAAACACAAACCCTAAACCCTAAACCCTAAACCCTAGAAAAACGGCTAAAAGAAAAGGGTTTCTCCTCGTGCTCAACCTTATGGGTAAGAAGAAAAAAGGGTTTAGGGTTTAGTAGGGTTAATTAGGGTTTAGGGTTTACCTAATTTAGCTTGTGATCTAATAGAAGGACTAAGAGAATTAGCAGGAGAATCAAATAAAGCCTTGAGGGTTTGTGTTTTAGGGTTTAGGGTTTGTAGGGTTTCTACAACATGTTTAACATAATGAATAAACACTGCTGATTCAAGTTGTTGCCGTAACCCTAATGCTCTTGATTGATAACCATCACATAAAAAACCCTAATATACAAATAATACACATATATATATATATATATATATATA